ATAACATTTTAAAGCATCTTCAAATCTGTTTAAACTCCTTAATGTATTTGCTAAATTGAATACAAAAAAAGAAATCTTACCTTTATTTTCAATAGCTCTATAGTTTTCAGGATCAATTTATATTGCATAATCATAATAATATAAAGCTTCTTCAAATCTGTTTAAACTACTTAAAGTTATTGCTAAATTTAGTTCATGTAGCATACCTTTATTAACATAACCATTCGAATTTTCAGGATTTACTTAAATCGCCATATTATAACATTTTAAAGCATCTTCAAATCTGTTTAAACTCCTTAATGTATTTGCTAAATTGAATACAAAAAAAGAAATCTTACCTTTATTTTCAAAAGCTCTATAGTTTTAAGGATCAATTTATATTGCATAATCATAATATTATAAAGCTTCTTTAAATCTGTTTAAACTACTTAATGTGTTTGCTAAATTTAGTTCATATGACTTACCTATATTTATAACATCACTATAATCTTCAGGTTTTTTTTAAATTGCATACTCATAATATTATAAAGCTTCTTCAAATCTATTTAAACTACTTAGTGTGTTTGCTAAATATAGTTCAGGGATTCTTACCTTTTTTTTTAAAAACTTTATAGTTTTCAGGATCCTTTTATATTGCATAATCATAATATTATAAAGCTTCTTCAAATCTATTTAAACTACTTAGTGTGTTTGCTAAATTTAGTTCATATAACATACCTTTATGAACAAAAACACTTGAATTTTCTGGATTTTTTTTTATTGCTTAATCAAAAAATCGTAAAGATTCTTCCCTTCTATTTATTTTAGTTAATGTTTTTGCTATTTAAATAAAAATTTAATTTTACCTTTTAAAATATATAAATAAGATTCTTCAGGATTTTCTTTCAGTGCAAAATCACAATATTATAAAGCCTCAACATATCTTTTTTCTTTATATAATTAATTGGCTATTAAATTTTAAAAAACTCTTTTTACCTTTTAATTTATTTTTATTTATATTCTCTATCTTATTTTAAATAAAAGAGTTCCATTATAATTCTTTTTAAGATTTGAATTGTTAGTCATTCTCCTATTGTTATACTAATATTTCCTATTTTTTCATGAGATCTTGACACTTTTCAAACTCCGGAAAAACGTTAAATTTTTAGAAATTGATATTTATTTTAATTTTAAAATCTTTTTGTTTTTTCTTTGTTTTATCTATTAATTAAATTTAATCTATAAAAGTTTTTTTTAATGATAGAAGATTATCAAGACAATTAAAAAAACTATAAGAAGTTATAGAATCAATCAAATCGCCAATCCATTCGTTTGAGAACCTCATTATTTGATCAAGTTATAGGATTAATTTCGTTTTTAGAGTTGTTAAGTTTTCTCTAATTTGCTCCACAATTTTAATTTGAGGAGTAACAATTATTTCATATTGTTTAATTTTTTATTTTTGCTAATCATCAAAGTTCTCCTTAAGTGTTTAAAAATCTATACTATTTTTTGGTTTCAAGGTATTTAAACACGCATTGCAGATTAATCTTTAATCTGATGATATGTTCTAGTCTAGGATTACAAATTTAACAGGTTGTGAATGATATTTGCATTATAATTCTTTTTCTATTATTTTTGGTTGAAACATTAATAATAAAAATTATAAACATTTTCTTATAAAAGTTTGTTATTTAAAAAATTCCAAATACAATTTTTAATGGTTTTAAAATATTGTCTCATCTAATTTAAGAAAATACAATTGCAATCTTAATATAATATTGAAATATATTAGAAATTTTAATAAAATCATCTTTGATGTAAATCTATCTATTCAATCAATTCTCATTTTGAATTGTATTTCATATGATCTAATAATAAAATCAATATTCAATCATTTTTATTTTTAATATGGTATTCTTCAAATTTAAAAGTTATATATTTTGCACTTAAAGCTTTGAGATATAATCAAAGTTTTAATTCCCCATTTAATATGATTAAAATTAATGAAGGGCTTTCATTTGAATGATTCTATCCCCATAGACCTATTTTAATAATTTAAATTCAAGTAGAAAAACTTAATTAGCTTTGTAAAATAGTATTTATAGATAGACAAGTTTGTGATTAAAACAAAGAACTTAAACTTAATCTTAATGAAATTTACATTTTAATTTTGCTATAACATTTGGATATAAAATATAAAATTTATGTAAATCAATATTCTATAGTGGGAACAAAACAATTCTTTCACTATTCAAGAATAATCCATAATTTATAAAATGACTTCAAGAAAAGAAAAAATGATTTTTCTCGATTAAAAATTATTCTAAAAATTCTAATTAGCTTCTTGGTGAAAATGACTAATTTATGTACATCATATCTTTATCATCATTAAATTTTTTCATCTAAATATATATATTTTATCTAAATTTTCTGTAATACTTGAAAGTGATTATAATTTCTACTAATCTCAAATTTAAGAGTAATATTTAAAAAATTTAAAGAGATTTGATAAAAAGGAAATTAATTAGTATTAATAAGCAATGACAAAAATTTTAATATTTTGTGTAATAAAAAAAGTTTTTCTTTATTTTATTAACAATTTAAATATGAAATAGAACAGATTCCTTTAATTATCTATTAAAGAAAAATGTATTTGGTGAATTATTAATATATAAAATTATGTAAAATTTTTGATAAAATTAATGAATAATTCTTTTCAAAATTAATATTCATATTATTCAGATATATTTTGATATAGTAAAATAATCAAATTTTTCTACCCTCTATATTCTGTCTTACTTATCTATTTTATTGTCTTTATCTAAAATATATAATTAACAAATATTACTAATATTTAATTAAATTTTAATCTGATGCATGTTTTTAATAGTTTTCGATAGGATAATAATGATTGTAATTTAAATTAATTTAATTATTTTATGGTTGATATTCTTACTTTATTTGTCTATCATTAAGTGCTTAATTAGATGATAAAGGTCTAGTTTATTTGTTAGCTTAATTTTTATTTGATTCATTTTGTCTAGTTTTGACAACTCTTGCTTAAACAGGAAATACTTATGATCTCTCTAACTTTTACTACTAAACTTTAGCTGGCAATGCAGATTGAGGATATTATTATCGATCTGAAATTGGTTTTTATTATTGATTTGATGAATATTTTAAAGAAGCTGGAGCAGCTGATTAAGGAATCTATTATCTTTTGCTTATTGGATTTTCTGGATGACTTATTGGTTGATGAATCTATAGACTAGGATTGCTAATATTGATTGATTGACTTATTTAAGGTCTACATTAAATTTGACTATATATTATTCTATTACTAAATGTTTATAACATAAATTACTTAGGCATTTCTACTTTTCTTACAATAGGTGAGTAAGATTACTTTGAGATTCCATTTTAATATTAATAATGTCCATATTATCCATTTTATCTAGTTTAAGATATTGGAGAAACTCTTCTATTTTCTGCAATTATTCCTTTTGAGTAATCTCTAACTTATTTCAAATCTCTAAGCTCTCTAGATTTTAATTCTTAGATTTCTTGATTTCTTAATTATTAAATAGCTTTAAGTTCATTTTCTCTTTTAATTCTTAGATTTTCAGAATCTTTCAATTTAATAATTTATTAATTCTTAACATTAGAATCTCCTAATTATACTTTTTAATTATTCTCATAACGCTATAATGGTTAGGCAGATTTTGGTTTTTCTAATTTTCTTGAAGCTGATGGTCTAGGTCCTTCAACTAATAAAGGATGCTTATTCTATCTTTCGATATAAGCAATACTTTTAGTTATATCAACTATTTATCTATCTTTTCCTTAACTTAATCTAGAATCTTATTATGTTTTAGAAATTTATTATGGAGATGTAAAAGGACTTGATGAATTTTCTGTAGATTTATTTTCAATATTTCTTTCAATACTCATGATTTCATTTTCATATTTAGATTTTGGAAATTAAGAATTCAATAAATCAATAGTTTTTGGAATTTAAATAGTTTTTAAAAGTTCTTAATTTTACGGTTAATGATTGAGGTATGTTTCAATATCTCTCATTTTATTTAGGATGATTGTATTTTTTAATAATTCGTCACATGTAGGTCTTGATACAGATTGAGTTTTCAACAACAATGAAATAATATGAGCAAGATCTTAAGAATATTTGTTGGGTATTTAATCATATAAACCTTTCTAAACTTTTTGAAAAAGAAGATCCATTTCTTTAGCCCTGAATGGTGTTTATAAACAACACATTTCATATAAAACACAACCCAAAGACCTATTATCTAAACAAATAGATATACCATATATCACTCTTTAAATTATAAGGTTCATCTCTCCATACTTCAGGACTAGCATAATATGGTGTTCCAGTTTAAGTATAAACAAATCCTTATTTAGCTACTTTAGACACATTTAGATCTCCCAATTTAAATGTTCCATCACAAGAAAGGAAAACGTTTGCTGATTTTAAGTCTCTATGTACTATTTTCTAATCATGAAGTGTTTTCAATCTAATTTAACTACAAATTCATACCCTAAGATCATGTGAATCAAGGCTTTCCATATATCTTATTCTGAGAATTGTTATCCTCCCTTTAATGCCTAAGTAATTCTACGATACACATCTCCTCCTGATAAAAGTTCCATCACAGTACACAAACATTTAGAATCATCATCAAAAAAAGCTTCCTATTTTATCAATACTTATTATACTTTATAAGCTACTATGTATTTACTATTAATTGAAGCTAATAATCTAACTTCATTTAATGCATTCTCTTTCTCTTTCTATTTTAATGATCCTAATTTCACTTTCTTTAATGCATATTCTTATCCATCAGCTATTCTTTTTACCTCACTCTATTATTTTCAAATACCTTATAAACTGTACTAAAAGATCCTTTCCCTAACTCTTAAATTATTTAAAAATCCTTTAAAGATGATGCTTTTGCTTATTAAACGTTCATATTTTATTATTATATAAAATAATATCAAACTTATAAGGGATCATCACTTCTTGATTCTTTATTACTTAACTCTAAAAAACTTTTATGTTCTATCTATTTTTCTTCTGCCATTTTTATTAAATTTGAAATGAATATTACATATACTACAATTATTCCAGTTTACTTTATATAACTTATATTCGTTCTTTCTTATTATAATACTTTCACTATTGTATTAATAATAAGACATAAACATCCTATTACAGAGAATCTAAAATAATCATAAATCATTCTTTCCTTATCATTTTCATTTTCAATTCCATCTGCTAATTCCTCATCAAAAGGATCATGCTATTTATAATTTATACCACTCTTCACATCTCTTATCTGATATTATTTTATATAAACACCATACTATACTAAAAATACTATCCCATAAACTAATTCTAAACCCAATGACACTTAATATTCTCTTTACTTCTCAAATATCTAAAAAATCAATCAAATATATTTACTATTCGATTGATAATTTCTAAACCTGAATTTATTGGATAACCAAAACAAAAAAGTACTTTAAATATTGTAATTGGTTTAATTGCTTATTAATCAATATTTTCTTTTTTCTAATTTTATTCAAACATCACCAACCAAGTATAAAATAGTATTGTTTGATTTAATAATTCAGTAATATCTCGATAAACCTTATAAAATTTCATTCCTAATAAATTTTCTAATTGCAAACAATTTAACATCAAAGTTACTAAAAGTATCTTAGTTAATGTCTATCTTCATTCTTTAAATATATTCTTACATTTCGTTTGACTTGTTACAATAAGTCTTTATAAACTTTGACAAATAATAATATGATAGGAGACAACTTACTAAATAAATTACCTAATCATATTAAATTTATACATAAACAATATGTTCTATTCTTTAATCAAAATCCATTGTATTTTTTACGGAAAATAATAGAATATAGAGGGCAAACTAAACCACACTTCTTAATTTATTATCCATTAATATAAAATTTGATTATTCTTAACAATTATATAATAATTAATTTAAATTACACAATTGTTATCCTATTATAAAAAATTATTATAATAATCAATAAAATAATGAGAATCAAATTTTAGGTATATTTATAAATCTCAATATGACAAAATGTGTATTTTTAATCAACTTATCTTCCTACTTGTCTGAAGTTTAATTCTACATAGCTGTAGAAATGCAAAGTAGTTTATATTAATAAAATAAAAACTCTATATTGCATTATTATTCCCTAAAATCGATGATGACTTTTGCAATTTGAACCTGTCAATTTATATAATCCAGAATTCCATTTATCTTAAATTTTGCCTAATTATTTTTGCAATCAGTTGGTTATTCTCCTCTGTAAGTTCTACTTAGTCTAACATATACTACAATTTATTGCGTAATGTTTCTCCAAAAACTCAAAGATTCTTTTTCTGAACTGATTTATTTATACTAAAAATCTTCATATATATTCTCAATAAATTTTAGTCACTCTGGCCATCGAAATTACTTAAATTTCATTCTATTTTATATCGTCTATATTAGCACTATAGTATTTTTTTAAACGATAATACTTATGAAAAAAGAAAACCTTTTTTTGTTCTAATATGCAATACTTATATTTAAATTGCTGTTAAATTTAATATTAAGTTCTTCCTTTTTTTCACTTGATCAAATTAATTAATTAAATCCTTGAATACAATATTTTAATTACCATATCTAAATAATTACTTTGATATTATATATCTAAATTTCTTTTTTCTTTTTTTTACCTCTTTTATACTGTCTAATTGTGCAAATCAAATTCAATCTATTCATATAATGGATTTTAACCTGAAAAACTTAATTTTCTCAAATATCTGATCCTATTTCTCTTACGATTAAAAGTTAATAAAAGAATACTATCTTTCTTATAGCATTGTTTCCATTTTACTTTTTAATATAAAAACAATTTATGTTAAAATTGATTGATAAACTTTGTAATACCCTAAAATTACAGTTAAATCTATCTTCTTCAACTAATGTATGGATTTGAAATTAAATATAGGATATTTTAGAAACTAATATACTTAGATTTGTAAAAGAATGTGTAATTTACATTTTTCATATTCCATTAGAATACGATATTGAATCATTTTTTACAATCTCTGATATTGATAATACCATGTCCAATATTCAACAATATTTAAATACAATACAAAAAAAAAACCATTTTAAAAAAATATTTAGAAATGAAGGCTTTTAATCAGGTGAATAAAGTTCAAGTGATGAATTTGATTCCATCATTAGAAATAAACAAAAAGTCCATAAAATTAATACCTTAGAACATAAACCTACTGACATTCCTTCTACCGAAAACGATTTGTCTTAGTTAAGTAATCTCTAGAATCTATTATATGAAACTAACATTAAAGTAACCAAAAGGGATGAATAAATTTTATAGATGACCACACATTATTTAAAAGATATTTAACATCTTAAATCTATGGTAAGCATTTTTTTCTATTATTCAAGTTTCTAAAGTAACTAGAAAATCCTGACACTGAATTTTATGAAGTTAACTACTTTGATATAAAATAAGCATTAGAACCAGAATTATAGAATTATATTCAGGATAAATTTAATCTGTTATAAAAACAATGTTAATAAACTGTTTAAAGAATCAAAATTGAATTGACTGCTATTAGTGCTGAATGTGAATCTCATAAAAAAACCATCTCAGTTCTTCTTTAAAATAATACACTTTAATCCATCATTAAAATGTTATTTCTTATAGAAAAAGATCCATATAAAATTTGGAAACAAATCTAAGATTAAGTTGGAAATAAGATTATTTTTCAAGTCTTTGATAATTAAATTGGGGGTTATGGAATTAATTATAGAGAAATAGATGAACTTATTTCTAAAAATTCAGCTGGTGGAAGAATGTTCTAAAGATAAAAATAATTATATTAAGAACAACTAAAAATTATGATAGACGACAATATCTAAATAATTTCCAATTTAAAATAGGAATTATAATCTAAAGAATAGGTTGTTGAAGAACTTTAACTGTAACATGAAGAAAGTGTAAATAAAATATAAGAATAATTTAATGAAATATTAGAATAGAAATTAAAAGATTAATAATAAAAACTTTCATAAGAATTTGAAATGAAATTTAAATAACAACAAAATGATTTGACTGATCCATAATTAATTAAAAAAATGAGTTTAAAATTTGCTTTTGCAAGATGGGTTAATTTTTCAAGATTTTATCGTCTTTTTGAAGAAGATTTAGATGAAGATAATTTGTATGAATTGAAATAAAAAATTAATCATTATTTAAAATAGGTTAATGATGAATTTACATTAAAAGATTATGAAAAATTGATTTAAAATTATTAGTAATCACAATATATTATTATAAAATTTGAGCAAGATAAGAATACAATTGAATAAAAATGTAAATCTCAATAATTAGAGATTTAAAAACATAAAAATACAATATAAATGTAATTGTAAACAATCCAAGTATAAAAACAAGAATTATAAAATTGTGAAACAACAATTAAATTAATAACAAAGCCGTTTTGTTCAATATTATAAAAATTAGGTTATCCATCAAAAATAAATTTTTTATCAATCTTAAAGAGTGGAATTAATTTAGATTTTTTACAAAGTGATGATCCAGAAATTCAATCAAGTTTAACAACATTTTTTGAATTGGCAATTTCTTAACAAATAATTCATAATAATAAGCCTAAAAGGAATGCTGAAACAATAACTGAATTTTTTGATGTATTATTGCTTAGTTAATATAGATTAGATATGTTATATCATAAGAATTGAATGAAGATAGTAACTTTTAACAACTTAGATTATAGTCTCCAGAAGTGCCCCAAATTTAATAATAAATTACTGAATATGGAACTAGTCCTAAAGATCAATTAAATTATACATAAATAGAAAATAAATTTCCAATTAAAGCAACTCAAAAAACATCTAACAATACAAACTAATCTCCAAAATCTAATCGAGTTTAAAATTAATTTTAATAAATCAAAATGAGTTTAAAGAAAGATAGAAAAAATGAAAGTGTACCACCAAAAAGAGAAAAAAAAAGTTAATAACAATTATTAGACACAACTTCTAGTGGATTTCAGAAATAGGTAGAAAAGATTAAAAAAAAAGATAATCTAATGATACAAGAAATTAATTATATGGATAAAGGAATTTAGGTCAATTTAGAATAATAATCAATTTATTGTAAAAATAGTACAAATATGTAATTAAGAGATATTGAGGAATTTTCTCCTTAATAAGATGTTTTAGTAATAATGAGAGATGATGGAGATTCAAGAGCTTCTCCAGTAACAAAGAGGAGGAGCATCAGTTAAAATAATAAAAAATAACAATTCAATATTCCATGTTAATTTATGAATAATCAAAATCTAACTCTGTATTAGGCATCAAAATTAAAAGCCTAAAATAAAACAATATATTCAGATTAATAGCAAATTTAATAGAATATAAATTTAGGCATTGGGTTCTTACCTACAAGTCCATTTTAATTTTATTAAGAATTATTTAAAGAGAAATAAAAATTGCAATTAAAAAATTATACAATAATTAAGGATTAAGGAATTTAAATTTAGAATAATTACAAAAGAAAAATAGAACCAAGTATTGAAGGTAAACATTTACAAATTCCAAGTTATTTAAAATGAATATCTAATAAGCCAATATTATCATTTAAAGTTTGGTTAATAGCCATAACTGCCAATACACCATATCAGGATTTTTATCGATATTTTATAATATTTTTATTAATTTAAGTAGTTTGATTCATTTTTAAATTCTAGATTCTATATTCCCTTTGAAGTTTGTCTTTATAAAAATGTAAGTTTTAATTTTTAAAATTAATAATTTTTGACTTTTAAAATAATGTATTTGAAAACACACCACACATTTACTTAGAGTGAAATAATATATTAAATTTTAAATATTAATAATAACTTTAAAGTCATCAATGTTTATGAGTGGCTCCTGTAATAGATGAAACTATTTAACATAATCTTTCCATAAGATATATGTCACGATGCATGTATAAATCCCAATAAGTAAGATGTCCTTTTTGATTTCCATCTACTTCTTACATTAATCTTAATAATAAAAATAAAATCTATACTATCTTGCAAACTAAAAGTCTGTTTTTTTTTCAAATAGTTCTAGATCTGAAAGTGTTAATGTGTTTGGAATAGTTGGTTAAGCTTTCAATGTTTCAAAAATTACTTTAACACAATTCTTTGGTTATTCTACTTATAAACATAATCCTTCTAAAATAACACCAGTTTCTCTATAATTTATCCAATCATCTTAATCTTTATCCAATTCTTTAAACAAGGAATCTCTATCTATTTATAATAAATTATGTTTCAATTAATTCTCAAATGCAAAATAACTAATTTTAACTCTCCCAGAATTAGGAAAGAGAATTGTAAATATTTATTCAGGAGTAGCATTTATATAAGGTACTACTCTTTAATTTGGTACAAATTCAGGTCTATCTAATTTATGCAATAAGGATGACCAATGTGTGAATAAATGTTTATATTATGGTTAAGCTACTTTTTAATAATCTTAGTAATTGAAAAAACTGTAGTATTTTTGAGAATCACTTACTACAATTTTATTTTCTGTTTCTTATAATTTAAGAAGGTTTTGTGATTTGTCTTAGATTGCTAATATTGGTTAAAGATAAGATTAAGCAGTATTAATTTATAGATATGTTGAATGTCCACTTTAAAATAATTAAGATGGTTTGATTTCATTTTTTGGAGTTGTATCTTAGATTATTGGAGGAGGTTAAGAGATTTGATTTAAAATACTTTCGTTTGATGATTCAGATTGTATATCATCTTCTTCATGAATATCAATATCCTAATCTTAAACTTGATGTTATTAACTATTTTATAATTAACTGCTCTATTGAATAGTTTAAGAATTATCTAGTTAAATAAGAGTGGGTTGATGAAATGCATATTATTGAGAAATGTTAGTTTAAATAATCTCTTTTGATTCATTTTAATTTCTATCTGAAAGTACAATTTCTGAAAATTATACATCATTGGCAAATTAATTAGTTTTACCCAAATTTATTGTTTTTGGGGATAATTATTCAGCAGGTTTCCATAAATCAGGACATGATTTCTTTTGACTATTTTACAAAGGTTAAAGTTATAATTGTTAAGCTTTTTAAATTCTGTTGGATGTTGGAGATTAACAAGTAAGAACTTTTTCATTTTCTTTATCTCCCTTTTTTCTAAGATATTTTCTTAGATCAGTTGATAAATCTTTAAAATTATTACCCTTTTTATAATGGTTCAGTATTGCTATGACATCTTGATTGCCATCTTTAACCATATTTCTTAATACTATTCTATCATCCTTAAAGATTACTAAATTGAATTATAATATGTACAAGTGCAATTATCTAATAGTGTAAGAATCTCTAAATTATCTGGTTTTTTTGGGTTCTTTTAAATATGTTGAGGTGATTTTCCAAATCGAATCATAAAAATTAACTGTTAATTAGAAATTTAATAAAATTATGTTTACATGATATATAATGCACCTCATATAGAATTGAATTATAGTATATGTTAAGTTTGATATAATAGAATTTAGAAAAAAAATAAAAACAATTGTGATTACTTGCATTATCAACAATGATAAAAAATAAAAAAAAACTGACTGTTTAAAAAATAAACTTTTTATTATTTGAATTATATTAATGAATTTATCAAAACAACAAGAGGAAACTCCTATCATTTAAAAAGGGATTCAACTCACTAAGTAAGAGAAAGTAAGTGAATTTAGATATAAAATGAATAGATTTATCATTTTGATATGTTATCTTGGGCATCTGCTGGTGCTACTTTAGTGTCAATATGGTAAATAATAATACCATTTACACTTTTTTCTTTGAATAAACCACAAATAATATTGGGAATCACTAGTATATTTTTACTCTTGATCAGTTTAGTAGTTTTGTATTGGAGTCATAAAGGATATAATTTTTATAAGAAAGTAAAACATAAAATTTAAATTTTAGGATAAAACAGATGAATAAATGCCTTTATAAGCTTGGCATATTGAGGGTTTGATTTATGTTATAAGTTTCATGTTAATAGCATTATATGCAAGTTGTTTTTTTGGAATTTTAGAGAATGAAGGGTATTCTTGGGCTTTAATGGCTGCTTAAGGAGTTCCAGTAAATACAGCATAGAAAGAAGCTTTTATAATTGTGTTATCCTAATTAATACTAATAATAGTAGATTTAGTACTTTTGGCATATTATGCTAAAGTATCATATCATTTAGAATTTTAAGCAATGCATTTGCCATCTTTATTAGGTTGGTTTTTGACAATGTAAGATTATAAATTAATATTAACAAGATTTATTTTTATGTGTTGTATTACAATAGGAGATACAAATTATTTACCATCAAAATTAGGTGGGTTAGTTGATAAAGAAAGTATGGAGAATGCTAAAGGAGCACATACATCAATTTTTTGGACTTGTTTGATAGGTTTAATATTTTCATTATTTACATTGATTGAATAAAGATCAATATAACAGGAAGTATTTCCAAAAGTGAAATTCTATTTCTTACCTTTCCTTTTAATAATGGTGGCTAGTGTATTTTTGATTTCAAATTCATTAAACTTCTTATATGCATCAAGTCAATCCATATAAGAATTAAAAAAGGATTGTAAATCAACAATTTAAACATTCTCATAGTCATATATAGATTCTATAGGATGTCCAGCTAAATACAAAACAGTGAATATTTAAGGTAGTAACTATTTTGATATGTATTGTTCATAAGATGAAGTAGGAATAGTATGGGAAAATGAAGTTGATAAATAAAATTCAGAAAAAAGAAATCAATTAGCTTGCATGAATTTATCTTGTTGTTATTTAGTGAGTGAAGAAAGAACCTTATTTTATAAGCAATATTTTTTCTATTCTATTTTAACAGCTTTTTTAGGATTCATAGCAGCAGGTCATTGTTTTGATATAGCATTATAAGAACCAAATGTAATTAAAGCTGGTCCATCTGTTTATTCTTAAACTTAATATATTGTGTAGATTGTTTTAGCATTATTTTCTATAATTCTTGGCATTTATTTATCTATTAAATACAATGAAAAAGTACCAATAAAAATGCCTGATTTTAATTATAAAGATTAAATCAATTTAGAACCTAAATATTTTCCTGAATTAACAACATTATCATCTATATCATAATGCCAAGAAGTTAGAGATTAACATAATAAAACATTTAAAGTTCATTTTGATCATAATGCTTGTGCAGGTTAAGCTAAATGTTCTAGAATGGGATTCCATGCTTGTTTAGAAGCATAAAATGGAATCTTTTAATTATTGCCTACTTTTTAAGATTAAGAAATAGCAATCTTTAGTAATCATCCTTATGATCCATATCTACTCTAATAAGGATTACATGGAGAAGAAACTAATGATAAATTGTGTTTTGAAGGTTTAGAAGGACCTATTAACCATTTGTTAAATTCCAAAGTTTATGTTTGTCATACTTAAGATAAAGAGGCTTCTGTCAAATTCTCAACCAAAGAAAAAGAAATTCTCTTTGAATAAGTGATTGAATATTAAGAAAAAGATTTTGATCAAATTAGAACTGTTAAGTTACCTTCACCTAATCTTTTAAAAAAAAGTCACAAAACTATTGATGAAACAGGTGAAGATGAAATTTTAGGATAATATACATCAGTTACACTTATTGTGACAGATGCTGAAACATTTGAACCTATTGTTGGAGCAACTGTTACAATGTACTAAGATATCTAAAAATGTTAAGAATTAAATCACAATGTTTACTATCCTATAAGAATAGTATAGACTAATTCTACAGGAATGATCAGCATATACAATGTCTAAATGAAAGATAAAAGATAAATCTTTAATCTCATAGTTAAATAAGATGGATATATGTTCAATTGTTTAATTGTACTCTCTATAATTTTTAATTTAGTCTAATCATTTCAAGCCATTCAAATAAAATGTATATCGTATTCCACTTGTAAAATCAATAAATGATCAATAAGAAATGAAGATGATACTTTGGCATTAAAATCCAAAACTAAATTTAGAATTAGCTGCAAATGTTCTCCTTAACAAAAATTTGCAATGTAGTATCGGTTTTTTCTTTTCAGAATGTTCTTTTATGAAATTCACCTCTCATCCAAAAAGCTAAAATTAAATCTCAAGAGTCATTACTATAGAAAAGATTGTAAAATTTAATTACATCTTCTTTGTTCGTCATCTCCCAATAAATTCTGATATTATAGAGGTGGTTAATAACAAAGGGTTATCTTTAGTGGCTAAATTATAAGCAGAATTACAATAAGAAATAGTAGAATTTTAAAAATCTTAAGCAAAAATTTCAGTTTATTCTAAAAAATATCCTTATCCATAAATTTATGAAATGCCTCATACTCTACAAACTGAAATTGATACTACTCCTGATTTACTTATCTGGCTCTCTTTCTGTATGAATGGTAGAATTGGTCCAGAATCTAGTACAGCTATTAATCACTTTTGGGAAAAGAAAGATGAATCTAAATTTTGGTAAAGACATACTGTCTAAACAAACACTTTACCAGATTCTTCTATTTGTGACAAAATGTATAAATTATAATAATGATTATTATAAACCAATATTATTTCAACTTTTCTCCACATACTTTCTACAAAGAGATTTTAATTATGAATAAACTTTCCCTGGAGGACTTCCTAAAATTAAAGCACAAATTGCATCTCTTGCAGCCTTTATATTTGAATAGCTTCCAAGAATATGTATTCTTTAATCTGCTAAAACTATTCTTGTTCTTGTAGCATTCTCTGTTGCAAATTTAGTTTTTCCTTTTTCACCAGAAATACGGCCAATACATCTTGACAAATGGTCACCATGTAAAGTTTTAACTTTTAATTTTTGATTATATAGTACCATCCTTTACTTCAAATGATTCTACATATAAATCATCTAATCTTAACAAAGCAACTGAATCATCAATGTCAAATCCTAATTATTGTTTAATAATTATTTTTTACCCATCATAAATGCTTTCAAAAAATCTACACCTCTTTGTAATGAAGTCTTGTCTTCTGTAAATTATGATGTTTTTATTTCAACACACTTTTTTTTTGTATTCATTCTTATTTATAACTTCATGTTTTCCTTTTTATTTTATTTAAAATAAATACCACTATCGTTGTTAGTATTTTATCCCAATTGTTTTTCAAAGGTGTTACTCTATGTGGAGGAACTGGTACTCTTCTTATTTCACCCTTTTTATTCTAATTATTAATTTCATTTCTTTTACTATCTCTTAATTATCATTCACTTATTAAAATTGGATATCTTGCACTTCATTCTAGATTTAATTGATGTCTTCTTCTATTATTTAATTATTTTCTTCGTTAAATTCTTTTTCTTAATCGATGTCCATACACTAAATTTCTCAATTAATTACAATAAGTTAATTGTATTTATTAAAGAAATTACAAAAATACTGCCATAAAATATTTAAAATATCTAAATTACTATTATTATTAATGACTATTATATATTTTCAAATTGAAAATTCTTTAAAACATTTCATACAAAAACTTGTAATTTATCCTGCTATGCTTCCAACATCGCTGCTAAATTCCTACTAACATTTTAAACACTTTTTCTTCTCTTCTGATAATATTTAATTCTTCATTTACTTAACAAATTACTACGATTTATATTCAGATAAAGTCTTTAATTAATTTTAATCAATAAGTGTTTCTGTCTATTAATTCATCTCTTCCAAAAGCAACTTCACTTATTACTAAAGAGACAATGATTTTGTATTCTATTATGAAATATATTATTATTATTATTGAGAATAATATTGCTGTTGAGAATATTTTTATTAATTTATCAACTATTAATTTCTTTACTCTTCTTAGAATAAAGAAAACAATAAGACATCTTAGTAAATATCATTTTCTATCATTATCTTTATACAATTAGGAAGACTAGAATTTAGTAATACCAATCTATGTAATGTTTTATTTGGTTTGTAATAAAGTATTTATTGTATATCAACATTTATAACATATTTAAGATTATCAACTAACAGCGCACTTTGTCCAATAGACAAATTTTTTACATCAATCTAATCTCCAATTTATATACCATTCTCAAGCAAATGGTTACTTAAATTTAGATTTATACTATTTTTCAATAAAACTGTTGCTATTTCTGTAAAACACCATAATCCTATAGTTTAATTAATTTAATTTGTTTTAATCAGTTAATTTAATTGTTAATAAGCTGTTCCATCAGCAATAAATTATCCTTTCTTATTTTGCAATCCAATCAAAATCGCATAATATAAACCCTACAAACCTTGTCCAGTTAGTTACATTGTGGTTTCTGGTATTTAAAGCTTATCAATAATTATTTTTGGTATAGGCATTAATTATTGCATATTGTTTTAATTGTTCTAAAAATATTCAAACCCTTTGTTAATGTTATAATTATTTGCAGCAAAATATCTATTAAAGTCTCTTAATTTCTTTATTACTTCATTTTTGTTTGGTTTATTTTCTAGCTATGTTTCTAAGAATTCCTGAAATTTACTTAAAATATATTGAGGAGCTAACATAGTTAAATATAATTAATATTATAAATTTAATATCAAGAATTATATTCCCATTCATATGAACAATTAGAATAGAATTGATAACAATCTTTACAATTCTATGAGATACAAATACAAATTTATATCAAAGCATATAAAAATTAGACCAAAAAAAAAGGCAGGTTTGAATATCAAGAAAATTAACTATTAAGGCAATCTTATTCTATACTCAACTTAAAAATAGACTTCCTAATTATACCATTTAGGAAGTTAGGATTAATATTTCTGAGTAGGAATTCCAGATCTAGATTATTGTGCTTTACTTTAAGGTATCATAAATTATTAATTATTAATTAGCTAACTAAGATGAAGGTATATATTGTTCTTCATATAATTCAGAATAAACTTATTGAACTAAAATACATTGAGTTTGCATAAAATAACAAAATTTATAAAAATATTAATATCAAGCATTCTATCAAATACTATACTTTCTTTTTTTAATTAAACATTCATCTAGTTACTTTCTAAGTATTAAACCTCGTATTTTTTCCCATTTAATGTAATTTTCTTTTTTTACATAAATGTATTCATCTTCCAATATTTCTTGAGCACTAATCCTAGAAAATGGATCAGAATGCATCATTCTACAAATTAACTTCCTTAACCTTAATGAATACATATTTGCAGGAAAATCAGTAATTTAAATTCCTTCTCTTATCCGATGCCATTCTTCACCATTTGATGGTAATTATTTTTTTGTCATTAATTAAAAAAGAGTTGCTCCCAAAGAAAATATATCTGTTTTACATAGATCTAACTTTTCTGTTTGATTAAGTAATTCCTTTGCTATATATCTGAAGTCTCCTACACTCACATCTTCTTAGCGTTTTTATATTTTTTTAGACAAACCTAAATCTGCTAATTTGTATTAACCATCTTTTTTACTATAAAGAATATTCTCTGGTTTTATATCTAAATGTGATATTTATTATTCATGTAAAAATATCAAACCATTTGTTATATCCTTTAATATCTTTTTTATTTCAAATTCTTCATAATCTTATCTTGAACTAACACTATAATCACAATATTCCATTAATAAATATAACATATTTCCTTCTTACCAAGATGTAAAATATCTAACTAGATTTTTACATGCTCCTTTTGAATTTAAATATGCCAAAGCTTGAGATTCATTCACCATATCTATATTCAATTTATTTTATTTAATTTTTGTGCATTTTATAGCACAAATTTAATTTGTAAATCTATTTTTACATTTATATACTTATCCAAAATAACCACTTCCTAAAATATCTACTTGAATATATTCTTCATAATATCTACTTTTTTTAATCCCATCTTCTTCTTCAAATTACTTATTCAAACTTCTTATAACTTTCTTTTTAATAATCTTATTAAGTTAGTTTTGTTTTTTCTTTTCTCCAGTTGATTGTTATAAATTGTTTTCAATGCGTTTTGGAGTGCTAGGTGAATTTATTTAATTATATTAATTTGATAATGCTTTTTATTATTTAATTTTCAAAGCTAATTAATTTTTTTAGTTTATTCCAATCCCCTCTGCTACCTTAAGTTTTATTGGCTATTTAAATTAATTGCAAAACTCAGGTGTAAATGGAGGATCAACAAATAACTTCTTACATGGATTAGGTTCAAAAGTTTAAGGTGAACTGGGGTTTGAAAAAAGATTTCTTGAAGGAAATAGATTCATTTCAAAGGTGTTTTATGTCAAATTTCGAAATTTAAATTAATTCTCGAATTACCGCTAAAATATTTCTTTAAAATTTATTTTAAATTTTGTATTAAAATTTAATTTTTATATATTATATTTATTAACCATCACTTTTTAAAAAGTAGACTTCCAAATTTTGGTTTTGATGTAGTCTGTTAAAAATTCTATTAATTATCCTCTTAAACACTAGTTGCATCTTAATTTTTAGCTTCTTATTCCTCTTCTACATTCTAATCATTTAATAAATCCACAATACAAATTCCTTCTCCTCCTTCTAAATTATATTTTTTTGCTCCAACTTGTTAAATTATGATTAAAGCTGTTTATTTTTTGGATAAACAAATATCTAATTTTTAAGAATCTCTATGATCAATAATTTACATGTTATCCAACTTAAAATATAACTTTTATCTCCAAATTTTATTGGTACTTTTATTATTTAAATGTTATAAATAAGTTCCTTCTTTTTTTATAAAATATTGTGTAATTACAAGATCGCTGCTTCCATTTTCTTATTCACTAAGATCTCCCTTATGAAAATATTTGATTTTCTAAGTATCTGAAGAATGTTTATCAGCTATTGCAATAGCACTTTCATATACTGCTTTTTAGAACCCTTAAATTTGTTAATCAAGTCTTTAAATCTGTATTAATTTCTGACTATGGATTGTTATCCAAAATTTCATATTCTTAATATCAAATTATTCTTTACTATCACCAATTTCAACCTAAACAAACAATACATAATCTCCACTTTCTAAAGAGGCATCTTTAAATAAAATCTTATCTGTAGATTACCCTCTTCCAAAACAATATTTATAAGGCTTAACTTATTTTTTATCTGTGTTTGTTTCAAATATGGAAGCATATTTCATATCTATTTTCATAGTTTCTTCTTTTTTATCTTTTTCTTTCTCTTATTTTGAACGAGTTGCTTATTCTTACCATTTTGAAATGACCTTCTTCTTAACTTAATTTTTATTTGTAAAAATATCTTTTTCTTTAGCAAGTACAATTCTTACAGGAAATGTTTCTAATAATAGAATTAAAAAAAATACTTTCTTATACTATATAATCCTCTTATTTTTCTTAATGATCTTATGTAATACAAATTAAACAATCCTATGCTAAGTTGGTTTTAAATTTACAAAAGAATCTTAATTCATGATTATGCTTGTCTTTTTCTTCAGGTTAAATCAATTATTAATTTTAGATAGGATATTTAGTAGCACAAAGCATGATAACATATTGAAAATGTTTAATAAAGTCTTTATAATCCATGAAGAAGTATGAATCATTACCTCTAGTTTATGGATTTCGTTCTTATAATTTTTATCTAGCAAGTGAAATTTAATTAGTAATATCTTATTTTAGAGCAAGTTTTTAATTAGATGCCAGTATAAGTAGATAATAGGATTCCTCTCTTTTGCCTTATGAAGTTTCTTGTAAGTCTACAATTTAATAAGCTGTGTTTTTTGGTAATTTTAAACGGTCTTCTATATCTTTATGTAAATAACAAATTCTAACTTTAGTATTTTAATATTTTTGAGCCATGGTTTTCCATAGTTTTTTTTACTAAAATAAATATGAAATATATTTTACCTATTCAGAATATTCTTGATTATCTCCAAAAACATTAGGAACATTTAATTAAACAGTTGGCATACCTGTAAGTAAAGTCAAATATTCAACAGCTCTCATTAATTTATCATTAGAAAAATATTGGAATGATTAATTATATTTTGCAAATGCTTTAAAAAGGATTACCCAAGCTAATTCAGATTCTTAAGAATTAGAAAAGATGGGCATTTTATCAGATCTAAATATAGGGATTCTATCATCCACAATATATTCTTTCCATTCATTTTTCAAAAATAATTTAATAAAATAAAATCCAATTCTAAATTATTTATTATTATAATTACTCAGCCTCATATTTTCTAGAAAAAACTTTAGCAAAAAGATATGAATGAAATGTAAGTGCATTTAAAACAACAGTTAATTATTAACAACAATATTATTCTTAGTATTTTAAATATCCAGGTTAAATTTCTTTAGTGAATAGTTTGAAGTCTTTCTTCTTAAAATATTTGGATGTATATATTCTTTCAAATTCTATAGGTGCTCCAATAGGTTAGTCATTTTCATCTTTGATATTAAAGGATTGTTCAGAGAAATCAAATTCTGGATCTTCAAAATTTTCTCTCTTTAATCCTTTTTCATCAATAAGACTTTTATAACCATCTAATTCGGCTGGAGGATAACTATTTCCTTTAATAGGATATTTCTATATCCATTCAGATCTATTTTCCCGAATAATCTTGAAGAAATTAATACTTTGGTCAGTCTATAATTATTTCACATTAACAATTCTCCATTTATGACCTTCAGCAATATATTCAATAAAATCACGAGCAGGTTTATTATATTCCCAATAAGCATAATAATAAGAACCATTAGGTTAATATAATCTTCCAATACCATGTTTATATCCATCTACAAAATCACCTTCATACAAGAATTCTAATCTTTGTTTATCTGCTTCATCCTCTATAACTTCTTCAGTTTTTTATAATTCCTTTCTTTTTTCATTATCATAAGGAGGAGGGAATGTTGCCACTATTCTTTCTTTAGAATATGCAATCTATACTCCAAATCCATTAGGTAATCCTAAAAGAAAATAAATCAAAGCTACCTCTCTAAAAATCCCCAACATATTAAGACCCATCAGAGAATACTAATTTTCCATGTCCATGTTTCTGATTGTATTTAAAAGATCCTTCATAACAACCACCTGTGATATAACACTCTTTTCCCTAACCATGTTTTTGTCCCTATTCAAATTAACCATCATATAGGTATTACCCTTTTTTGTCAGGGTATAGTTATACATTATTATAAAGCAATCCTCTTCCATGAAATACACCATCTTTATATTATCCTTCATAAACATCACCATTTGGGAAAGTCTCAATTCCACATACTTTCTCACCTCTCTTCCAAGTTCCTTTGAAAAAACATTTTGTTTCATTGTTGAATAAATATCCTGGACCATCATAAAGAACAGCTTTAGATTTATCATCAGTTATTATATCTCCTTCATATATTAATTTTCCATCTTGTGCCGACAGTTTTTTGTTAGTGCTTTTCATTATTTTTATATATATATTTATTAAATGTTTCAATTTGAACTTTCAATCGTTGAAATCAAATACAAACTAATCAATTCTACTTCTTTTTTCATTATTAAACTAAAAATTATCTTATATTAAACTTTTGCTAATTTTTTTATTGTCTCTTATCCTCATTCTATATTAAATCCATTATAATAATAGTAAAACTAAATATCTCTTTCTGTGTTTCATGCTTTAATCCTTTAAAATAAGTTCTAATCTTTCTTTTAATTCAAAGTACAAAGAGACAACAAAAAATAAACACTCTGAATATCGGTAATCTATTAAAAAAAGACAAAAAATAAAAATTTGATGATATCATAAGTAAAGTATTTAATAGATTAAATTATTTGTATTGATAGAATCAATAGAGGCTGAATCAAATATTGAAACTTAAAAAACTTGACCTACTTACTATATAATAAACAATGAGATATGCTTTTAGCAGACTTGGAGATTCAGAATATTTTGAAGAGTAATAAAAATGTCTTGAAAATAAATGAAATTACAAATAACTGAAAAGAAATAAAAATATAAATGAAAAATGATTAATTTATAATATGAATTATAACAAAGCTCTTGACAATGAATTAAAAGGGTCTGATGAAATACCAAATAGACATTGTTATTGGTATTAGCAAAAAAATTTGAATTATCAAATGATTTTAATTAAATAAGGAGAATATCTTTACATTATTGTGTGTGGAATTCTTCATGACATTAAGTTAGTTTATTAAGAACTCTTTTAGAAACTCAATAGCTTTAGATGAAGAATTGAAAACTTCAATTCACCATGCTTCATAAGATGGAAAAACAAAAGCATCCCTGTCTTACTATAAAGAGGAGGAAAAGATCATATGTAATGTAGAAATAGAAGTTAATTAACTTCATTAGAATTAGCATCAAATGATCCAATTCATTAAGTTTGATTGTTTATAGTTCTTCATCAAAGAATAGTTAGGATTATGATTTGAAATTCTTAGATTAAGCTGATTGGACTTGTTGGTGAAATAAATTAAAAAGCTTTGACAAAGTTACTATGAAAAATAAATCTTTTTCTTTTAAATATTTTATATTTTCATTTAAATTGATTGTTTTTTAATCGTATATAAATGTTTACGTTTCCTTTCTTTAGACTTCCCTGAAAATGAATATAGATTCATCAGATTCTTATAAAAATTTGCTACAAATACAAGGTAGATTATAATCTTACATTTAATAAAATTAATTGAATTCCTACTATAATAATTTATTTAATAATTTATGTAAGAATTAGAGGAATATGAGATCATAAAACAAAAAAAAATCAAGCTCAATGAAAAGCCAAGACCACTAGAATTTACAGTATTAGCAACTCATAATTTTGCAAGGTATTAAGTAAATAAAAAATTTAAAGGGCTTCAATATTGAAACTTCCTCATGGAGAAGTGAAAACTCCAGTTTATATGCCAGTAGGGACAAAAGGAGCAATGAAAGGAGTAACATATTAAGAGATGGATGATATGGGATGCAAATTATTATTAGCGAATACATACCATTTGGCATATAAACCAAGTGGTGATTTATTAGAAAAAGTAGGAGGATTACACAAATTTGTAAATTGGAAACATAACATTTTAACAGATAGTGGTGGATTTTAAATGGTTTCATTATCTTAACTTAGTGAAGTAAATGAAGATGGAGTAACATTTGAATCTCCTTATGATAAAACAATAATGCATTTACGACCAGAAGATTCAATTCACACTTAAAATTAAATAGGTGCTGATATAATAATGGCTTTGGATGATGTTGTTAGAACTACAACAGTAGGTCCTCGTATGTAGGAAGCAAGTGAAAGAACTACAAGATGGTTAGATAGAGATATTGCAGCTCATAAAAGAAAAGAAGATTAAAATTTATTTCCTATTGTACAAGGAGGGATAGATCCAAAATTAAGAGAATAATCATTAGATGATCTTATTTAAAGAGAAGCAAATGGATATGCTATTGGAGGTTTAGCTGGAGGAGAAGATAAAGTAAATATTTTCTTATTATTATTTTCAGGTTGATTTTTGGAAAACTGTAGCATAATGTACTGCTAAATTACCAAATGATAAACCTCGATATTTAATGGGTGTTGGATATCCAGTAGATGTTGTTGTATGTTCCTGTTTAGGAGTAGATATGTTTGATTGTGTTTTCTCTACCAGAACAGCTAGATTTGGAACTGCTTTTACAGATTATGGATTTCTTAAACTTAAAAACAGTGAAATAGCAAATGTATTCCAACCTATCTAATAAGGATGTTAATGTTAGGCTTGTAAATCTTACACATAATCTTATTTACATTATTTGATAGCAAAAGAACAAGTTGCCTGTCATCTAATTTCTATTCATAATCTAAATTATTTAATTTAATTAATGCTTAATTTACGTCAATCAATTATTGATGGCAAATTGATTGAATTTGTTAATTAATTTTTGAAGAAATGGTATTAAAAAGAAGGATAAATACCATAATGGATTATTGAAGCTTTAGACTATGCTAAAATTCCAATATAATAAATTTGAGTTATAATATTAAACATATTTATTTCTTAATTTTAACATAAATTTTTATTTCATTTCCTATATTTTATATTCTTTAAATTAGACATAATAATGAGAAATCAAATCAAATGTAAATCTTTATCTATTCTATAATTTATTGTAGCTCTTGGAATTTGATAATCAAAAAGAAACATAAAATCATCACTTTTAAGTGTTTTTGATTTTTATTCTTTCCTCCTTTTTTTAAACATTCTCTCTTGTTTGATATTCTAAGAATATAATTTTCTTAAAGTCATTCCTGATTAACTTTTCTCTCTTATTGAACGATAAAACGTTAACATCACTTACTATTTAATTGAAGTTAAAGGACAATCTATACATAAATGATTATTTCCATGACATGTAAAACATTTCAATCCAATATGCTGAAATTAATTTTCAAAAATTATACTATTTCTAATAGCTTAGAATTAATGATGAAATTTCTTATTCATTTCCAAAACATCATGGAAATCCTTCCTTAGAATGTAAATTAAAGATGCAAATTGTATCGTTCTAGCAGAACCTAACTAATTATATAGTATAATTTACATTTTCTTGGTAGTCCTGTAATAAAAGAGTAATGACCAAAGAATGTGTCATTTTGTAATTATGCAATAATAACATCATTTCTCTTTGAATATTAAGTATTTATGAAAAGCTCAACATTACCCCTTTCCAAATAATAAAATGCTTATCCTTAATCAGGACTATTATCTAAGAATATATTTTCCATATCTCCTAAATAGACTTCTTTCACCTTAATTGACAAATCAAATAAAATATTATCATCCCTTAACCAAATTTATTTATTTAGAATTATTCCATAAGCTTAATACATCATTTTTTACTTTAAATTACTTGGAAGTAACTTTAATGACTCTTATTCTATATCAATATTTCTATCCTGTCCAATTCGATGGTAAAAACGTAAATAATTAGAGATCTAAAACTTCAAATCTCTAGAACAATTTTTTTTATTTAAATATTATTGAATCCGAAAATTATCTACATAATAGTTTTACAATTTAGAGTTCTTTCTCATATTTTCAATCAATGAAATGTTTACTGCCACAATTGCTACTGCAACTATAACTGTTAAATCAGTTATGATGAATTCTAAATCATTCAATGGCAATATATCACCATAACCAATTCTTGTAATCGCATCAATAGCCCAATATGTAGAATATAAATATCTTATATTTTTAGAATATTTACTTTGAAAAATTGCTTCTAGTTATTACAACTCCAAAATTCATTGTGGGATCATTCACCCAAACTTTAGAATTTGGATGATATATGTACATATAAACACTTCCCCCATAAAAAATACAACCAAAGAAGTGATTTATATAAAGGATTTCTATTAGCATTCCAAAAATCATGTAAAACTATCTTAAAGATGGCATTATTTTCAATTTATCAGTTAAATATACTTGAAATCTATAGAAAGGTATAAGTTTAACCAAACAAAGTAAATAAACTATTACGTATTTATCTGATACACTTATATAAAATAAAACTAGTATTGGTATTAAATCAAAAACTAAATTATTTTTTAAATAATGTTGTGCTATTTTGAATCTATTTTTAACTAAAATACCTTCATGATAAAAATTAGTATTTAATTAAACTATAAAATCACTAACGAACAAGATCTAATAAAATATAATTAAAATTATACAATAATTATTATTCTTATTATTTTAAAGACTTCATCTTCACTAAACTATTAGTAGTAATTCCAAAAAAATATTATTTAGGGTATTGCTATAAAAAATAAAGCATTTACAAACATCATAAATAATTTCCAATAAAACAAGTATTAATTTGAAGATGAAAATACACTTGACTTTTTCTTTCTTTTAGGAAGATTATTTGTCATTACTATAAGATCTTCTTATTATAAACTATCCTTAATTAAGTCTTTTAATAAAAGATTCATTCTTTTTTATTGATAAGCTGTGAATGGAACCCACTTAAACAATAATTTACTATAAAATCTCTAATCAATTTCAAATGAAATGGGAATCTGATGTTCTATCTCATATTTATTCTTTTCATAAATCCATTTATGATGCTTCTTATTTATTCTAACATATTTTTTTCTTTTTTGTTCTCTATTCCCTTGAGGATTTTTGTAAAATTCTTCATAAACTTGATCTTTAATACTAATAATTGAGCAATTTTTAGTTAAATGATGAGTAGAAGTACAAATAAAGCATCCATATTATATCATTGAATATTGCTTTTCAAAAATAACTTTATCCTGAATAAAGTGGAATTTTTCATGATCTTCAAAATGATTGGATATTATCTTTAAAAAATCTGTTAATTTGATATATTGTAAAATCACAATAGATTTAGTTTTATAGGTGATGAATTATTCTTTTTCTTATTTAAAGAATGAATAATTGCCAAAATGATTACCTCTAAAAAGTTGACTAATTTCTATTCCATTAAAAAGAACAGCAACCTTACCTTTTTCAATGATAAAAATTTTAGGATCATCATCATCATCGATGACAGAAATAGAAGTATTTTTATTTAAATATATCTCACACACAATGCTAGATAATTGTTCTATAAATTCTATAGAGAAATTATTATAAATCCACAATATTTTTTTAATAATTTTCAGATTAGCTTCATAATACAATTTAGATTTTAATTAATTTGGCAATCTCGAAATGACTTATTGTTCCTCTACAATATTTCTTTTTGATTACTCTATTCTAAGTTAGGATAAAAATATTGAAACTTCATTGTATAGTTTTTTAGAAATGTTCTTAGCAATCATAAATTATTTAATCGATAATAGACTTTCATCTAAATAAGCTAAATTATCAAATTATAAAGAAAGAATAGTTGATATAACATACAAACAAACAAACATACCTCCAACCAAAGCCAAATCTCCAATTATTATTTCATATTAATTCATAGGAGTGATTTCACCATAACCCATTGATACAATAGTTTCAACTGCCCAAAAATAGCTTATTACATATTATGTAAAATGATTCATCTCATTTATATTTCCAATCACACTATTTGAATACTCTAACCAAGTTGGTTCATTTATTGAAATTGAGTATAAACCCATTGCATAAAATGAACAAGCATATATATCAAATATATACAATAAAGTAACAAACAATTTCAAAATTCGATAAACCAATAATAAAAACTGGTATTAGATTAGATATTCCTCAGTTATCTTGTCAGAATATAGATTGGATGGAATTCTAAAAAATATAAGAAATCCCAGCCAAAATGGTAAAGGTTAGAATGTTGAGACAAATAAATAGACTAATACAATTAAATCAAATACGAAATAGTGTCTAAAATAGTATTTAACTTTCTTATATGGTTTCTATATGATGATGCCATTGTTACTAATATATTCTATAAATAACGATATTATCATATCTATAATTAATAAGGACTTAAATATATTGAATAGATACTAAGATAAATATCCTCCAAGCAAAAAATAAGTTTCCTCTGTTTTCTTTTTGAAATTCCTCAACATTGAATAATTCTAATGAAATTTCTATATATAAGATAAAGGAGCAAAAGTTAATAATCACTTTCCAAATTATTAGAACAGAATCAGAGGTTGAAATTTATAGCTTATTGGCATGTTAATTAATATATTGCTTCATTACTTAAATAAAATTTTTAGAAATTATAAAATTTATTCATATACTTATTGAATTTTATTTTCTAATTCTTTATAGAATAAAAAAAGATTATTTTTGTAATCATTCAAACTCCACACTACATAATGGATTAATTTCATGAGCAGTGATAGATTTCTTTCCATATAATTATTAATCTAATTATATCATTTGTCTAATAAATCCAATATTTGGATTGACAATATAACGCTTTTCTTTAGTATATTTAAATGCTTCTCTTAAATTCATTCCTAAATGTTTCATCAAATACATAATCACAATAGTAGCACTTCTTGATTTCCCCTTCTGACAATGAACTAATGCACATTTTCCTTCTTTTCTACATTTTTCTTTTTATAATTTTATAATTATTACCTAAAAATTCATAAGCTTCATTAAAATGTTCTGAGATATTTTCTCCAATAGTGTCAATTAAATGTAATTTTAGATATTAATATTTTTATGGATAATAATTTTAACATTCTGCAGCAGCATTTAAAATATATGTTACATGAGTTCTTAAATCAAGTTCAGTTTCATTTTCTGAATTCATTGCTGTTCCTAAATATAACCAATCTAAAATCTTAATAAATATTTATATTAAATTAATACTCTTGAAGAATGACAAATGAGATGATGTTAATATGATTCATTTTTAATCCATTTTTAACATCTCTCACATTATGTACAATTTTAAGTATCTAATGGTTAATTCTCTATAACTTTTACTCCATCATAACATGTTTCATCAATGTCTTAAGATTTTTTTTATTTTTTTTCTATTTCATCTGTTGTTGATCCTTTACCCAATTTTTCCATTAATTTCTTCCTATAAACATCTTCTCTTTCAAATTATTTTACAATAGGAGGAAGTGGTGGAGGTGGAGGAATCATTATAAAAAAATTATAGATAATTATATTTACATTATTATTTTTATTATGCTCAATAACTATTAATTAATAATTTATGATTTTTAAAATCAATTAATAATGGGGCAATTATTTTTACATACTTTGATTATTTAAAAAATAACATCTAACTCTAAACTCACTAGAATTGTGAGATACTTATCTAAGATAGAGAGAAATTGAATTGATTGTCTTATTTTATAAATTCTTAACCTTACTTGCCTTTTTTGTTGAATTATATATAATTTTGACAGGTATAATTTTGCAATTATACTTATATGACAAATAGAATGATTAAGGATGTTGTAGATAAGTAAAGTGTAGAGTTTCTAATTTTGAATATTTTTGGTTCATAAAATATTTATGTTAATTCATATGAAAATTTGATTTTACGTCATTTAAGCTTTGTATACTATGTTCATATTACACTATATTGGATTACAAATCTATGAATCAATAAATCATTTTAATCATTATATAAAATCTTTTTCTAAATATAACATCGTTTTTAAATCACCTACTATGATTAACTAAAACACAGGTATAAGTAAATTTAAATCATTCTAGAATCATCNTTTTCTTTTTATAATTTTATAATTATTACCTAAAAATTCATAAGCTTCATTAAAATGTTCTGAGATATTTTCTCCAATAGTGTCAATTAAATGTAATTTTAGATATTAATATTTTTATGGATAATAATTTTAACATTCTGCAGCAGCATTTAAAATATATGTTACATGAGTTCTTAAATCAAGTTCAGTTTCATTTTCTGAATTCATTGCTGTTCCTAAATATAACCAATCTAAAATCTTAATAAATATTTATATTAAATTAATACTCTTGAAGAATGACAAATGAGATGATGTTAATATGATTCATTTTTAATCCATTTTTAACATCTCTCACATTATGTACAATTTTAAGTATCTAATGGTTAATTCTCTATAACTTTTACTCCATCATAACATGTTTCATCAATGTCTTAAGATTTTTTTTATTTTTTTTCTATTTCATCTGTTGTTGATCCTTTACCCAATTTTTCCATTAATTTCTTCCTATAAACATCTTCTCTTTCAAATTATTTTACAATAGGAGGAAGTGGTGGAGGTGGAGGAATCATTATAAAAAAATTATAGATAATTATATTTACATTATTATTTTTATTATGCTCAATAACTATTAATTAATAATTTATGATTTTTAAAATCAATTAATAATGGGGCAATTATTTTTACATACTTTGATTATTTAAAAAATAACATCTAACTCTAAACTCACTAGAATTGTGAGATACTTATCTAAGATAGAGAGAAATTGAATTGATTGTCTTATTTTATAAATTCTTAACCTTACTTGCCTTTTTTGTTGAATTATATATAATTTTGACAGGTATAATTTTGCAATTATACTTATATGACAAATAGAATGATTAAGGATGTTGTAGATAAGTAAAGTGTAGAGTTTCTAATTTTGAATATTTTTGGTTCATAAAATATTTATGTTAATTCATATGAAAATTTGATTTTACGTCATTTAAGCTTTGTATACTATGTTCATATTACACTATATTGGATTACAAATCTATGAATCAATAAATCATTTTAATCATTATATAAAATCTTTTTCTAAATATAACATCGTTTTTAAATCACCTACTATGATTAACTAAAACACAGGTATAAGTAAATTTAAATCATTCTAGAATCATCAAAATGGGATTGGGTACCTGCTACTCAAACACTAGAGATTACAATTAATTCGAATAAAGTATAAATAGAAACCACTCCTTCAATTGTTTTGACTCATCCTGAAGGAGATGTAAAAATAAATGTAAAACTTTATATAGGCTTATCCTGAACCATATGTTACTTTGGTTATTGATACTGAGAAACAATTAAAATATTCTGAAGAATTAGGATGGAATTGGCATAAGAGCTGGAATTTACCAAATATTGTAGTTAGATTAGAAGTAAAGACATTTTCATATAAATAGATCAAAGATTCACAAACATAAGAACTTTTACTTTCTCCTAAAAATTTATTTGCTTAATTATATGCTGTTAAGAAAGTTTAAGATGGCAGTCGAGTAATACTTTAAGATGTTGGTCTAAGAGGAACAAGTAAATTAGAACTAATTGATGGTCAAGCATATTTTTCAGTAAATTAATTTGCAAAATCTTATTGTAGGCATTGAGATTTGCTTCAACCTCTTATAACAATGAAGGTGTTAAATTTCATTTATTAATGAGTGTATACATCCAAAATTCTGATACTGAAAAGCCTCAAATTTTGAATTCAACTATTTCCCCTCCTATTTTTGTAGATAGTAGAAAGAGTGCTGGCAATTCTGAATAAAAAAAAGTATATGTACATGCAGAACCATTTACTTTTGATTTGTTAGATAAAAAATATTTTAAAAGAGAAAATAAAAGAAAGACTGAACAAGATGTAGAAATAGAAAATGATTTTGAAAGTCTTTTCAATTATTTAACTGCTCCTAACATACGTCATAAGGTGAAACATCCTTTATTTTTAATAATAAAATTTTCTTCCTGTGTATCTCTTTATTATAATCCTGTAACAGTGGAAGGAAATATTAAAATAATAATGGAAAAACTATAAAGTTAATTAACTAAAGATATAATAACTAAATAATTGAGTACATCTGGTGAAAAATAATTTTATTTATTAATAGAGGAAAATAATGATTAAAATAAAAACAAAAAGGTAACAGAAGCAATTGATTTTCTTAATACTGGATGTCTGGAAATTGTAAGGAAAGAAGATTAAATACCTTCTAAATTTGTAAAATTAGGAGATTCTACAGAAATCTTAGAGAATTATAAATAATGCTTTGATTAATTATTAAAGATCTTTAAATAATTAACTTAGAAATTCTGTGAAAGTGATTCAAATGAATCAGATGATAATTATTCTGATTCAGATGCACCATAACCTCCATAACCTTAATAACCTCCATAACCTACATAAATTCCCTAACCTGTTTAACCTTCATCTCCATTTAAGAAAGTCAAACTAAATCCTGAATATCCTCAAATACCATCTGAAGTTAAAAATCCAATTGAATAACATTCTATTAATGAAATTATTGCCTAATAAGCAATCAATTAATAATAATAATAATTATAATTATAATAATAATTATAATAACAACAATAATAAACATAATAATAATAATAATAATAATCGAAGCCTATTTAATTATAACCATAACCACCAAAAATATAATAACCTCCAATTATAAATAAAACAAATCCTTCTTAAATACTAAATCCAAATTAATTAAATATAGAATCTAATAAGAAATAACCAATATAATATTCATCATTTACAACCCCTTAACCACCCTAATAACAACAACAATAACAACCATAACAAACAGCGATTTAAGATTAATCCTATAATAGAAAACCTTAACACATTCCAGGGGTTCAACCAATTAATTTACCTGCCTCCTAAGGATTGTAAGGAGCACCTTCACATATTAATCATGGATATCCGTATCAATTTTAACCTCTTGAATAATCTGGCTTATCTTAAGCTTTTCAATAATATCAGTTTTAATAATTGCTTTTATTATAATAGTAATAATAATTAAATTAATAACCCTTTCCTCCTTAACCAGGTATGATGGGTAATCCAATGTAATCTTAATTGCTAAATTATATGTCAAGCTTGGGTGCATTAGGATTAAATCAAGGATAAATTAATCCTCAAAATTTATTAGGATAAAATTAGAACTTTTAATAGTTATAACAATAATTATTGGCTTAGTAACTGTCTTCTTAATTGGGACTTTAATCTCAATTACCATAATAATTAGGAGCTGGAATGGGATTAAATCCATTGTAGCAACAGCAATATCTATAGTAACAATTACAACAATAAATGGGATTAGGAGGTTTTCCTAATTTTAATCAATTGATGGGTCTTTATTAAGGATAATAACATAATTTAAAGAAACCTGGAGAAGGATCAGGAGTAATAAAATAAGAGCCATAATGATATAAATAAATATATATATATATTTGATAATAAGTATCATTATTTTGAAGCTATAACTTGTTCTCGTAATTCATTTATTTCTGATTAGATTTAATTTCTAACTTGATTCAATGATGCTGTTACCATTTATTCAACAGCTTATAAAACATTATATTAATATTATTATTAAGATTCTTGTGTTTATTGTGGTTGAACTTATGATACTTATTTACTATGAGTTTTAGATTGTTCAGTGTTGACTCTTTTTTCAGATCCAACAGATTTTTAAGTATCGTTTTTAGATTTTTCAATTTTATGTTCAAGATTTCTTTGTAATGCTTGATTCTCTTCTTTTAATTTAGCTTCATACCATCTAAAAATATATAAAGTAAAATAATACCTTTAGAGATTATTCATTTATTATTCCATATCTTTGACTTTACCTTAAAGTTCTTAAAGTTGCTTTTATTATTTTTTGGTATCTTTATCTTGATTTCCATCTGGGTTTTTAATTTTGGATTCAAGTAGTTTCTCTGATTTTAATATTTTTTATTCATTTTCTTCAATCTTCCTCATTAATCCTTTAACAACACTATCTGTTCTTTGAATAGCTGGAATGTATTCTATCATTTGTAATAATGGCATCAAAGCATCTTATTGTAAACAAACTCTGTTAAGATTAACTACTTTAATTATTGGTATTTACTTTCAAGATGAGCTAACTTAGATGTTTCCTTATCTTTTTCAGTAGAAGGCGCAAAAGGAGGTAAGTTTTCAGTAGATTTTCTAAGTACATTAGTTTTGTTAGCTTGTTTGCTGGCTGAAGTATTTTTCATAAATGTCTGTTAAATATTAATTTTATTATTTTATTGAATAACTCATTTTTTATATTGATATTTAACAGGGGCAATATCAGCATTAACTTCACATCCGTTAACAATTAATTCTCCACCAACTGTAAGGTCTAAATAAATTCTGTGAGCAGGAAGTTTTTGATTTGTTTTTTCAGCATATAAATCACCTAGATCTCTATTAAGACTAAAATAATAATAGAATATATATTTTACGTTTCTTATGATGGTGCTGGATAATTGGAGAAAACCATATATTAATCTACTGTAATAGATGAGACATCAACATCATACTTTTCTTTAAAGTACTTTATGAATTATCCAAGTGTCATCTATTAATTGATAGTTACTCTATCCCAAGCTGTCCATTCTAAAAAATAAATCAAATATTTTACTTGGTGGTACTGCTTTTGTTGGTCCTAATAACAATACATTATATTCTTAATCTAAATGTTCTCCAGGTGGTAATGGTTCTGAAAACAAAAAAAGTGGTAGAGCCAAATTAATAAATGAATTTCTCATTTTAGCAACATTTTTCTTTAGGATATATTTTAAGATTTCTAATCCAACTGCACCAACAATCATTGCAGTTGTAGTAGCTAAGGCAGGAATAATCTTACCTGCTATTAATTTTACTTAAAATGGTGCGACTTCTGGTATTTTATAATTTCTTGCTCTAAGATTTGAAACTGCAGATAAAAATTCAATATGCCAATTTGTTGGATCATCCTTTTCAAAAGCACATTCCTATAATTATTTTGTAACATCTTTATTTTCGAGAGTTAACTTTTCTAATTCTCTAGCAAGTGCTTAAATTTATGTTTCATCATCTTCTGATTTCTCTTCCTTTTAATCTTTTTCATTCTCTTTTATTTGTATTTATTTTGGTACATATTATTATAGTGATATTGTAGGTAAGATTTTTGCAATCTCATCAAATCCATCTTATTTTGGTAATCCAAATATTTAAGAAAAAATATTAACAGCACTATGAATAAATAATTGGTGGAGTGGATCATTTTGATCAAATTCAATTGGACTAGGTGGTCTTTTAGGATTTGTCCAAAATAATTATCCTTCTGATGTTCTATGATCAGGTGGGAAACAGTATAGCAATTATTTTATTTGGTTACAAAAAATATCTTAGAACATATTCTTAGCTAAACCTACTATTGCTTATAAAGTTGGTTATTTAGCAACTTCAGCAAATTTTTTAACTGATTCTAATTTTGGTCTTAATACTCCTGGTTAAGCTTTAAGTTCAGCTAAAATTTTAGTCAGATAATTGACCGGATTTTGTAAATATTTAATACAATCTTAAGATCCATCTTCGAAGAATCCAGCAAAATAATCTCTAGCCCATTAAATAGTATGTTCAATTTAATAAGGGAAATTCTTTAATGTGCATAATGGGATAGTATCTTCAGGTGGATCCTAAGATTCACTATAAGATTATGTTTAATTTGGAAGAATCAATTAAGAATTACATTTAGTTCCAAGAGTTCCACTTTCAAATAATGGTTTACCATAATAGCAACATTATGAATCAATATATTTTCTAGCATGAACATTATCAACTGCATTAATTGTGATATCTAATCCATCCCAAAATTAATCATTAAAGATTGGTTCATTTTATTTACCAACTCTAAGTGCATATGATTTAAATCTTGATGTTTTATTCATTAATTCACCAACCTTGCATGCAGTAGCAGCTTTATTAGATCCAACATTATTTTTTCTAAATAAGAATTATCTATTTAAATTAGAAACTTCTATATTATCATCATCTGTAACAGTCACTAAACCTTAAGTTCCACTTCCACATCCCATTAATGCAAACATTTTAATATATTCACATCCAAGTGCACCTGCTCCAACCATAAATATTTTAGAATTTTATAATTATTATAAAGCCTCTCTTCCAAAGATTGCAATATAATCGTCATATTAACTATTTTATAATGTTCTATTCACTTCAGTTTCAGGTAAAGCTTCAAAGAATTCACTATGTAACCATTATCTAATTGGTGTAAATTTACCTGTATATTTAACAACTTCTTATGCTACAATTCCACCCCAGAATGAAGTTAAAGGGGTAATTTATGTTGAGAAATATAAGGATGTATTTTTTATTAATTACTCATCTAATTCAGCTTTAATAGCTCCTTATCCTCTATCTGATAAATTTATTTATTATGCTAATTCCCATACTTTTTAAGCATCATCTTAATTTAATAAACCTGGTTATCTTCCATTTTATTATATGAATTATAATAATGCATTATACGATATATGTAATTATTCTGGTCTTCCAATCTTTTCCCAATCCATCAAATCTAATTCATTCTTTTCTGGAGCAAATGGATGACTCAATGAAGAATTAAAAGATTTAAATTAAATATCTTAAGGCACTTTTACTTAAACAGCTATTCCTTCTCTTAAATATTATGAAAACTTAGTTGTATCTCCAATACTAAACATATAAGGTGATTTAACCTATTTTTATATATATAATAATAATACTTTTATTTAAAATATCTTATCATTTACTTCTGTCATTCCAACTACTTCTTTGAATGTAATGCTATCTCCATCTTAAAATCCATGTCTTTTTTCTTCAATTGTACTTACTATTCCTTCAACTTCTTTTGTTATTCCTGCTACTATTGCTTATTTTGGTTCTTCACCATTTGGATCAAATATTTAAAATTTCTATTATGAATATCATCAAACATTTTACATCTGAGTAATCTACAAATGTTGATCCAAATAATCCTGATGAATGAGCTAAAATAAATCCATGTCCTTTTTATCTCACTGCTTCATTTACTTCTGTTATAAATTTCTAATCCCAAACATCTGTCAAAACCACAACTGAATATTCACTCAAACTAACACCATTTAATTAACCAGAATATATTTCTACATTCACATATGGATTTAATTCTTTCAATTATTTTATTGCTGCATCTTATCTTGTTACTTTTCCTACTTAATCAAGTGAAGCATAAAAATTTGATCCCAAATCTGATACTGCTAATACTGTTGGATCATATACAGTTACAGATTTTGGTCCTGCCAATATCAAATTCTTTGCTATCTCTAATCCCAACTTGCCATAATATATCTTATTACCCCTCTTAAACCATGAATAAAACATTTCATTTAAATCAATTTTGATTATGTCTCTGCTCCCAATACAGCTACTTATCTTGAGTATAAATTCTCATCAAACTTACTATCCTATTATTACATTGAAAATATTATTTAAAGATATTTATTCTAGAAATCACTTAAATCATTATTAATAAACCCTTTCTATATTACTGATAAATTCTTATTTAAATAGAAAAAATAATATTATTTTTAACTATCAATATTTTATACACTCCTATTATTCATTTACATACATATTAATTATTCCAATTCAATACTCTTCTCTTCTATCATATAACATATATTTTATTAATCTCTTTTTTGAAACCTTTTCTTTTATTTTTATATTACTAACTCTCAAAATATATACTACTACAAACCCAATTACCATTTATTTTTAATTTATTCAAATTTATTAACAATTAATATTTATACTTAGAATTATTTTTAATATTTAAATATAATTTTGAGAATAACTATTAATTAATAACTCAAATATTTCTTAGGTTTCTCCATTTAAAAAATAACTAAGTATCATCACTCTTAAATTTTGTATCCTAAGAAAAATGCACTCTTTTTTTTTTATTAACTTCTTTACCAGATTTAGCATCCGCAGATTAAGATTGTTTTTATTATTAATCATTTTTTAATATTCCTCTTGTCTCCTTTTGTGGTACAGTTATACATTCTAATTATGTACTTTATAACTTTTCAATCCCTAAACATGAACCATGGTTCCAATTCAAATTACTATTTGTTTCATTATAATTAGGAAATTTGGAGGAACACTCTTAAGATTTTAATGGATATTATTAATGATTTATTTCAGAATAATGAGATTATAAAGCTTCAAATTTTTCCTATATATATCTATTATTACTTAAAAATAATTACATTTGCCTTATCCTTGCTTTTACTTCACACTCAATATCTTACATAAATCGATTTTCCCTCTTTGGAACAATAAATTGATGCAATTATTTATTTTAGACAAATGCTGGTACTGGATTGTTTTCCAAATTACTTGATTAATTCTCCTCCAACATTTCCAATGAGTTATCTGCATCGCTAAATTAATTTGTTCCTTTCTATGTAGTCTTTAAAGTTTAGTTTTCATTTGTAAACTGACGTTTTAGATTTAAATTCTATTAACTCTTGATCACCTGCACTTCAGAATCATGATTTTATTCCCTTTTCGAGCACTCTCTCATACAACAACTATGTTAAATTCCCATTAATTATATAATTATTGTTAATTTTTCTCAACAATCCAAATCCTTACATGAAACTAATTAACTCCAGTTAAATTCCTACTTCGATTCACTCCTTTTTAGAATTATCTTTTTACATCTCTTCTATATTTTAATAATTTTCATTTCCTCTTTACCCTTTGCAAATTAAAATACTGGCTCATAATTAAGACGAAGTTTTGGTCAAAATAATTTAATTAATAGACAAAGATTTAAATAGGATGACAAAAACACTTACATTGAAATTACATATAATATATCAATCTGCATTCTAAATAAAAAGTTCTATCAATTACTAAACGAATGGAAATTTATCTTTAATCGAAATATTTTAAAATAATTACATTTCATAATAATCTCATGTGTTCAATAAGAATTAATGAGATGAACTAATCTTAATTATATAAATTAGAGGAAGCACTTTAAATTTGAAAATTTAACCATTTTTCTTAGATGTAAATGCAAGTTTTAATTTACTCTTATTCTTAAAGCTATTTTAATCAAGAGACTTTTGTTATAAGGAAAGTTTTCTAAGTTTTCTAAATTTTATCATAATAAAAAAAAGGAGTTTATAAAAATATTGAATTTTTTATATCTTAAAAAATATAAATAACACAACTTCTAATAATTTAGACATAATTTAAGAGTAAAAAAAAAGATTTTAAATAAATAGTACCAAATCTTTCTATCTTTTCAATTTGATTTGATAAGTTTGTTAATAAAGAGACTTCTAATGACATATAATGATAAAAGAATCAGATTTTTTTTGTTACATTAATGGATTGTATTATAATATTACAAAATTTAGAGTTGATTAAGTTTTATGAGATTTAAAATAAATTTTTAAATAAAATTCGATGTAATACGTTGCTGCATATGCTTTGTTGACTTTAGGAGGAAAAGCAAATCCAAGTATTAGAATTAATTAAATTCTTATTAGGTGAAGCAGATGTAAAGGGATTATTGGCTGAAGTTGGTGTAACAGGATCAGATGCTGAAATAAAGACATTAGTGGAAGCTTTGAAAGGAAAGTCATTAAAAGAAGTTATAACAGAAGGATTGAAGAAAGTGGGAACACTTTCATTAGGAGGAGGATGTAAAATAAGGAGATAATAATATATTTAGCATCATAGGCATCTGCTCCAGTTGCTGCATAAGCATAAGCAGCTAAAAAGGTTGAAGAAAAGCCAGTTGAAAAGGCTCCAGAACCAGAAGAAGATGTTGATATGGGAGGTTTATTTGATTGATAAAAAAAGTAAAAGTACATTAAATATTATACATTAAATTGTGTTATTTAATTTATTATCTGCATAAATCACTAATTAATATTTATATAAAATATTAATTTAGATGATTCGATTAATGGGGAGTTAATATTTATAATATATTAATATCATTTCACGATTATCCTTTTAAAACTGAGGCTATTGATTTGAATTTAAAACTTCTAACTGCTAAATAGCTTGCATAAATTGAAATAAATATCCCTCCTAAAAAAGTGATAAGAAATGTTGATGTCGGAAATGCAAACTTAAATTTAAATTCTGAGAATGCAACAATTTAAAGTGTAAACGTTGTAGCTATAACTAAACCAATTATAGTTCCTATCAATCCAGATGCTATTATCAAGGTTATTGATTCATAAACAAAAACTTTAGAAATCTAAGTCTATATTAATAATTATATATATATACCTCAGTTAATCCAATTGCTCTTAAAATTCCTATTTCCCATGATGTATTTCTAACATTTCCAATAAATGATACTAAAAGTAAGAAAAATGATAAAATAAGGGCTATTGTTGCAACAACTATATTGAATAATTCTAAATATGAAAAGAAATCTTAAGCTGTATCTGTCATTGAAATAGAATCAAATAAATATATTTGATCATTAGTAAAATAATTTCTAAGTCTATTACTAAAATCTATTCTTTCTTCTTTGGTAGTAATTCTATTAAATTTGATCAATAAGACATCTTTTGGAAGTCCATAAGTTAAATTTTTAGGTAATTTCGAAAAATATTAATGAGCTCTGTAATTATTAAATTTATTTTCTTCAATTTTACTATTTAATATTTCATTAATTAACATTTATGCATCTTTCATAGTAATTAAACCTTCACCAAATAAAGCAATAGTTCTGTAACCACTAAATGCATTATTTGGTAATTTAATTGCCATATGTTTAATTTTTAATCTTCTTTCAATAGCTCTACCTTTATCTCTAAATACGATTCTTAATAAAGCAGGTGTATCAACATCCACTCCATTTTCAAATCTATAACCTTCAGGTATTATTACATTAATTTCTTTATCAAGGGCTTAAACTTCATTTTTAGTGGCATTATTTACGCTTTTTAACATATCTTTATAATTATTTTATACAATATTATTTGTAGCAATACCATAAACATCTGATGTTTTAGCAATATCTAATTTACCTTCATTATTATAAAGATCTTTTACACCATCTCTAACACCATTTGGTAAATAATCAATAGATGATTGTTTTGTATCATATTCTGTTGGATAATAATATTTATAATTTATAACTTTTAAGTAATTTTCTTCTACTGCTTGTAATCTTATTCTTCTTCTTGGAAAATGAGCTAAGGGAGAAATTTAAAAAAATCTAGGTACACCTGGAATTTCATTCAAACTTAAACCACTAAAAGTATAATCATAAATAAAAGTTGGATCATTTGTTTTTTCCCATTCTAAATGTTATCTAAATTTATATTCATCTAATCCATATTTTTATATTGATGCATCAAATATTATTATATCTGAAGTTAAACTTGTTTTAATGAAATCATCCATAAATTCAGCTTATAAAGTGAATTAAGCTCCAGTAAAAATAATAAATGCTAATCCTAATGAATACATTAATGTAGTCTTAAAGTTTCTATTTCCATGCCCATTTAGATTATTTAAAATAATCATCTTTAAATTGCAATCTGATTATTTAATACATAAAATAATTTTTAATATTTATCTTTCCAACCATTATTCAATTAAATTCATTAATATAGTAACTCCTATAACCATAGTTATGAATATTAAATTGATAATTACAATAGCTCCTCTTATATTTTAAAATATGATATTCATGGGAATGACATAATAACTAATAAAACCTGTACTGATTAATATTATTGAACATACTGTTTAATTTGTAGATATTCCCATCATTTCTAATTTTACAACAGTAACTAAAATATCATTTATAACTCTATGAAAGAGATCTAAACTATCTTTAAGAGTTTTAGATAATGCTTTTTTGATTGGTAAGATATTACTAATAATTGGCATCGTTATTCCTAAACTTATTTAAAAAGCTAAAGCAGATGATGGAATTGAATATGTAGTAAACAATAAAGACATATCAAAAATATACATACTAATTAATGTATTAATTAAATAACATGAAACCAATCCTAAAAATAATCCAGGAACTATAATTTTAAATTATAATTTTACTAACTTGCAAATGTTAATGCTTGTACATATCAAATATTTTTAATTTAATTTTTATTATTATAAAATTGTTAAATTTGATTACAAATCTTAAGAATAACATCAACAATACGATTAACCAAGATTTTTTAAATCCTAGAGCTCTAAGCATTCCAAATTCATATGTTTTTTCTTCAATATCTCCTATCATTAAAGAATAAATTAATAGTATAGATAACATTAATAGAATCATAGTTGCAACTCCTAATAAATTTTCAATGAAATTCTTCATTAAATGATACAATCCTATTGTGAATCCTATTGGTGCAGTAATTTGTACAGGATAATTATATCCTGCATATGTAAAGAATTAATTGGTAGTCTATATTATAGTATCTTTTGCTTTTCTTGGAGTTTCATATATGTCTCCTCTATTTTTAAATAATAGATTTGCCATAAGTGAATATTCTTATAATTTAAAATTAAGTGTAGCATTTTTAACTTATATACGAGTATCATTAACTGGAATTAATTCAGAAATAGCTCCAGGCATTCCTTCATTATTTTTTTAATTTTCTATTATAACTTCATCTAATTTATTAAATATGGAATCTAAAAAGATTTAAGTGGCATTTTTATAATCCATAAAAACCATCATTCCTAAAGCATCTGTCCATTTACCTTTAGGAGATTCAACACCACCATGAACTTCAGCATCAATATTGAATTCATTAACTTATATTAATAAATCAAATAATCCATCTTCAAATTAAGAAATTGTAATATTATTACTAAACATAGATACTCTATTAACAAATCTTCTTATTAAATAAGCATCTTTTGTCATATTTCTTTCAAATATTAAATCAATTGTTCGATATGCCAATTATTTTTATTCTTAAGTTGAATTCTCTTACATTCCTAGATTCTTTTTTAATGAATTTTTAGCTCCAGCTTTTATTAAACTAGATGCTTCAAGAACTTTAACATAATTCAAATAATTTTCTGAATATTATTGAAGATCTGTAATATTGTATTCCTTATTCTCAAAATTCTCTTCCCTAAAATACTATGCCAATTACTAATTAATGGCTTATTTAAAAGGTAGTCTAAGTTATTGGAGAAATTCTTAACTTTCACTTTCAGTTTCAGTTTCAATTCCAAAATTTTTCAAAAATTATAAGATATTGATATTCAATTAAATGAAATCTCCCTTACTTGCATTTAGTCCTCTTAAGCCAGTATGAGATACATAAACTTAATTATTAGTTATGATATCAACATCTAATCGTCTTCCAATTCCTATACTTTATTCAAGTTAGGAATCAAGAATAAGAAAATATGCTCTGAATTTTTATTCAACATCTTTTTTTGCTAGATTACACATAAACATCCATCTAGGAGATATATCTAGAAACTCAGAGACTTAAGATGTATACTTGAATAATTAAAAGTATAATACTTTATGTAAATTTGACATGTTAATCAATCTGTAGTTGCTAGTGTTTTCAGCAGCTTATGGTAGATATAATAGATCGGTATCACCAATAGAAGTCTCATCTAGTTGGAGAAAGATTAAAGGACTCAATTAAACTACGCATTAAAGTAACCCCAAGAAGGTGATCACTATGTAAGTAGTGAATAATCCTATTTTAAAAGATCTAGGTCTTTTAGCTATATCTGCAAAAATATAGTTGATAATCACTCTAAGTGATATTTTTGAATTAGTTTATTCTTAAAAGTATTGTTAAGACAGAGTATCATCTATTTAATTATGAAATTATTCCATTAGATAATATTAAATAATAGTAAATTATAAAAATATAATATTATTGTTATTAATATCGTAAGTATTATAATCATTAGAAATTAGAAGCTATTTAGATATGAAGATCAATCATTAGTTTGTTTATTTGAACTTTTTTCAATTACATTTTTGGCATCCTATTCACTCAATTTAGCTAAAAGATCAAATCTAGTAAGATTAGCGATTTCATCTAATCTTCCATCATGTGATTTCTAAACTGATTATAATCTATCTTTCATTTTGTTTTCTTCATTCTGTTTTTATAATATATTACATTATTCATCTTCTAAATGTTCTAAATCTCTGATAGGTATCATAGGTGCTTCTAAATTTCTTATATTTACCCAATCAATTCCTTCAAAAAATGGATGTTATTTTATTTCATCAATTCCACAATGTCCTAATCTGATATGATAATTAGGTTCTAATAATCTATTAATTAAATTTTATGCGTTATTGGATATCATATCATCACCATCTCCAATATCTGGCCATTCTATATTTCTCATTGTTATATTTTCAAATACTTTTGGAATACTTGTATCATTAAATGGAGGTATCCCAATTAAAAATTCATACATTATAACACCAAATGCCCACCAATCTATTGAAAAATTTGAAATTGATTATCCTCTTATCACTTCAGGTGGTATATAATCTGGAGTTCCTATTATTCTATTTTATCTCTTTCCAGAAGATGTTTTTTCTTATATACTGTTTTTGATTGAATTATTTTACATATGAAATTCTAAATTACATTTTATTTTTATTAATCTTTTTGACACATTCTAAGGTAATGCATCTGGATCTATTTATAAATTAATTCCATCTTTTCCATCTTTTATTTTCTAAACTAATGCTATTTCTGATAATCCAAAATCAGCTAACTTTATATGACCTTAAGAATCTAATAAAATATTTTATGGTTTAAGATCTCTATGAATGATACCTTTTTTATGCAATGACTCTATAGCTAATAGTAATTCTGCTAAATAAAATCTTGCACATTACTCCTATAATCTACCATATTAAAATAAAACTTAACTAAAATCACCACCCATCATATATTCTAATAAAAATAATAAACACTAATCTTAAATAAATGAATAATAAGCTTTTACTACAAAATCACCCTCTAAAATTTCAAAAACATTTTTCTCAGCTCTCAAATTCTATATCTCACTCATATTTTTATTACGACAATCTATCACTTTCATTGCATAATAATCTTTTGTTTTTTTCTTACTAACCAACCAAACTGCTCCAAAACCACCTATTCCCAATACTTATATAAATTCAAAGTCTTACAAAGTTACATTTAATCTAAAATTACTCTATATTATATATTACAATTATTTATTTTTAACTATTTTCATTATTTTGATATCTCCATCACTATAAAATCCTTTATCTTTTTCTTCAGCATTCTCAAATTCTTACTCTTAAATTTTAGAATCAATATTTAATGCTTTAAATGACATTATATTATTTTTTGATTTTTATGATGAATTCTCTTATTCCAATAATTCATCCTATGTTTTCATATTCAATCTTAGAATTTCTTAACTTTAATCTGATTAACAATCACTCTCTTCATCACCAAAATCACTCAATCCTTTTTATAATGAACTTTCTCTTCTACTATTATTCTTTATAAATATTTAATTTCTATATTACATTTTATTTGTTTAACCAATTGAATTTCTCACAATTTTGTAATATAGAATTTCTTTTTGGAGATCTAATGTTCATACTATCTGAATTTTATTTATAACTTAATGGAGAATTTACATTATCTTATTTATCCTCATCTGAAATCAATTTTTGTAATCTAGATATTTTTTATGTATATTGAACTCTTTCCTTTTCAATAATTTGAAAATATATTTACTTCAATTAATTTTAATGATTATCTAACAATATCTTACAGTTCTTTGTCTAAAGGATAGTTAATATTTTATAAATTAACTTAAGTTTTAAGATCAAATTATATAGATTATGATGTACTATTAATTTTAATCATTTCTTCAGTATATTTGATAATTATGGTAAGACAATTTATTTATTATCTTAAATCTTTCAAAATGTCAATATTATCACTAATATAATCTTTTAATAATTTTTTACTCTAGTGAAAATGGACTCCCAAAACCATTAGAACTTGGAGAGCTTCCTTATAAGCGTTCTTATTAGGGAGAATGAATGAAACGTGTTTCAATTCTCTTTTTCTCTTTAATTTTATTTTGATTAAGATCATTTTCTATTGAAAATAAGTTTATTTAATCTGATTAATGTTAATTTTACAATTCCATAATTTAATCAGATTCAGGATGTTTTTTAACTTTATCTTATGCTCCAATAAGTGCAAAATGAGATTTTCCTGTATTCTAATGTAAAGTCTTATTTGTTTTTGATCCTGTGTCTTCACTCATAGAACCATCAGATTATAGCTGATTAAGTGAACTTGATTGCCTTTTTCCATTTTCAAAATGTATTTATCTAATTTGTTTGGCCTTATGGATTTAATATTTAGTATTAAATGTACGAAATCGATTTTAAGCCAATTCTCCTAATTTGTGTATTTATTAGGTTAATTCTTGTAATTACATCTTTGTTTCATGCATTTATTAACAATATATAAGATGATTTGTAATTAAATGAGCATCTAACTAAGAAACTATGAGATTATAGTACTATTTTCTCGCAAATTCGACAAATTACCAAAAGATCCTCGGGTCTTTTAGCTTCAATAATCATTTATAAATAAAATTAATAATAAGAAATCATTTCTTTCTGTTCTCTAATAATTTAATTTATTTCTTCAATTAAGACGGATTGGAGAGAACAATTTCTAATTCTTATAATTTCATTTTGAGCTACACAATTTCCATACTTTACTCCTAAATTAGTTTAATATACTTACCAGACCTTAATCTTATTTAAGTGATAAATGTGATCATCTTAATTTTGATTCAAAACATTCATCATTCGTTCATATGTATATATTGATTACATAAGATTTAGATTATTTTGCTATAATTCTTAAACGTATTTATTTAATTGATATGTGTCTTCTTCATTTTTCAATAATACATTAAAGATTTCATTATGTTTATTGATTTTTATAAGGTTCTTTAGAAAATTGCATTATTTTTATAAATGCTCTAACTAAAATAATGAAAATAAATACTTAAACTTCATAAAGAATAGCTCTGTCTAAATAAATAGGATAGTCTTATAAACAAAGAGTATCAATGATATGATCACATATTTTATCAATTTCTTGATTGAAAGCAATTTTTTTAATGTTTAGGATTCCTGTTTTGATAATTTGAAGAAAATTCATTTATTAAAATATTTAATATATCCAAATGTACATAAATTTATGATTCATTTCTTTTATTCTTTAGCATTTTTTCTTTTTTCTTTAACTCCAACGAATTTAGCATTATACCATTCTTATCTAAGTCTACGATATACATTCTTTGCTCTAAGTTCTTTAGAGATTACTGTAGCCTTTTCTCTTTTAGGTGTTCTTTAGAAAGTAATGACCTAAATATTATAAAAATAATAAATACTTCAAGATTAGTATTTTAAGTAACAGGTTGAGCAACAACATCATTTGCAGAATCTTTAACAACACCATTTTTAGGTTTACCAGTTATTCTTGGGAAAAGTACTAATTTTGATAAATATGCTTTGATTCTTTTGACATTAACTGTCAATTCTTCTTAGCTATTATTTCTGCGTCTGTGATCAACTGCAATTCCTATAGTTCTAGCAAATTAAGCATTGATTCCAGATTCTTTAAGTTCAATTAATGAAAATCCTCTTCCTAATTTTTATACTCCATTATATTTAATTGTTTAACCTCTAACTACTGGTCTAAGTAATTCTACTGGTCTTGGTGAAGTACCTTAATATATATATATTCAATTACTTAATGCATTTGCTTATCTTCTTTATTATCTTCTTCTCTTAGCAGCTGGTTAATTGTAATAAGTCTTCACAAATCTCGTCCAATGTTTACGTAAATGAGCATTAGGAAGTTATTGATTGTGTTTCATTCAGAATTTATATTTAAATTAAAATATATATTTTTAAACTCACATTAAAAATTCTCAAATTTATTAATCCAATATGCTCTAATAAAGTTATCATTCAATTAATTTATAAACCAAATATAGTCTTTCAATTCTGATCTATAATTATTACAATAATATTAAGTTATCCTTTCTTTTATGGGTCATATGTATTTTTAAATACTACTTTTTTTTTGGATTCACTTTTATTATTAATTCATATATGTAATTCTATTTCTAAAATGTTGTTTATATAATGAAAAACATGTTCTAATTTTTAATTAATATTATAGTTGGTAAACTATTATTTTTATTTAATTTTATGAAAAGTAATCAACTCAATTTAGATTTATGTAATCCTCAAGCTTATTTAGAATAGAAGAAAAATTAGAAACTGAAAATCAAGCTCATTCTGTTAGATCTCTTTTAAAAAGTTGTGATTAAGATCAAGAAGCCATTCTTTAAGATATTTAGAATTGTAAGTAATCTAAATAAAATGATTAAAAAAGTGTAAGGAGTCTACTTTTCGATTCTAAAAGCAAGTAAGGATATTAGAAATATATACATAGACAAAGCTTATAATGTAATTTTGGACCTAGAATAAGAACTATTAGCTTTCAAACTAATAAGCCTATAATAAATTTTAAAGAGGAAAGCCCAATTTTTATTGATAGTCATATTTCTAATGAACATCATGGATTTAGTAATAAAATTTGGAAAACAAAAGCGTTAGAAATTTTAATGATAACTTTGAGATTCATAAGTTTTATTACAAAATCAAATTTTGCTACTAGTTTTAAATTAATAAACAAAAATGTTTTTGAAATTATAGGGGATGTATCAGCTGATTTTTCATATTACCTATTAAGAAATTTCTTTAAATATGAAGTAATAAATATTGAATTAATCTAATTTTAGAAACCAACTGGATTTCAAAAATTAAAAAATTTTTTGAGTTAAAAAATATTGGTTCCTATTCGTAGAACTAAATTACTTAAAATTTATTGTGGAAATGGAAAATTAATAATGAGACCCGAATCTTTACCATCAATTTGGTGGAATATATATATTCTTACTATTTTGAATATAAATGTACTTTATGTATCAGCAAAAATTGCATTCAAATTTGATAAATAATCAGATGATGCATTTTATTAAGCCAGATAAATAATGTTTGATGTTTTACCATCTTATTCATTTATGCTTGAAATATTATAAAAATTTAACACATGTTTTTATTATAAAGGAGCAGTAATTGAAAATCGTTATGAGATTGCAAAGAATTATTTAAGAACATGTAAATAAATTATAATTATAATATAAATAGCATTTTTATTTGACCTATTTGTAATTATTCCTTACTTTATAAGTTTAAGATTTGATTTAGAATATTTAGATCTTGTAATAATATTGAAAGTGTTTTAAATAACTAAATTTTCAAGAACGCTATTTGATAGATTAGAATTGACAGCAATATAAATAGTTATAGTAGATTTGGTGAAATTAGTATACACAATATTAGCTGCAGCACATTTTTCAGCTTGTATATGGTTTTTAGTAGGTTCAACTGGAGATCCAAATGAGATTTCTTGGATTAAAGCACAACATATAGAAGATGAATATTGGTTTAATTAATATATGCATTCCTTTTATTGGAGTATTATTACAATGACTACTATTGGATATGGTGATATTACTCCTTAGAATTTGAGAGAAAGAGTATTTGCAGTTGGAATGGCTTTATCAGCAGTTGGTGTTTTTGGTTATTCAATAGGTAATATTAATTCAATATATGCTGAATGGAGTAGATAAAGCTTTTAAGTTAGAACTGATATGAATAATCTTAAAAAATTTATTAGAATTAAAGGAATTAATAAACATTTAGCAGAAAAAATAAGAAAGTATTTTGAATATGTTTGGAGTGATCAAATGGAAGATAATGATAAGGAAGTTTATAAATTTAGTGAAATGATTCCAAAATAATTGTTAGAAGAAATGAAAATTGATACAAATATGAAATTAATCTCAAAAAATAGCTTTCTTGTTAATAATTTTAGTGAACAATTCTTAATTTCTTTATCAAAAGCTATGGTAGAAGAAAAACTTGTACCTGAATAAACAATTTATTAAGTAATTCTATTTCATAGTTATTAGTAAAATGATCCTAGTAATTATTTCTATATTTTATCAAGTGGAGATCTCTCTTTTTATATAACTTTGAATAATAAATAGTAAACAATTAAAATTTTAGAAACTATAAAACATGAAGGCTAATCTTTTGGTGTTTTAGAATTCTTTTAATCATAAGCATATTAAATGTCATGTAAATCAAATTAATTTTCATATGTATTGAAAATTGATAGATCTCAATTTATAGAAATAATATCTTAACATTAAAATGATTATGTATGCAATTAATCAATATATTTGTTTAGTATAAATATTGTGAATTAGTTTAATAAATCTCATTTATGAATAAATAGGATTTAGTAGATGTGACCTGTAGAGCCTGCAATAAATCAACGCATATTATATTAGAATGTCCGTAAGTTGATCGAATTTATATTAAATTAGAATGGTATGTGGTTATCCAAATAGATCAAAAGTATTACTAAATTACAGAAGGAATATTCCATCTGATAGAGTTAAATATGGAAGAAAATTCGAACGTAAAATTCAAACAAGAAAAGAATCATTAGATATCTAAAATAGCATCTATTTATATATGTGCAAAACATAAATATTATAGGATGAATTAGATGAATAAAAAAAGATAAGTGATAGTAATGATGGTATTAATTAGAATATTCAATTAAATTAGATCTAAGTTTTGATGATGATGATGCTAATGATGAAATATTAGAAGGTTAAAAAAAGTTGGATGAAGTAAAAAGTAATACATTATTGGTTCCATAACATTAATAGAAAATAAAATGTTTATTGAAGAGAAAGTTATCATTTTAAGCTTGTTCTGATGCATTAAATGATGATGAAATAGTATTAATAATTATTATTAAATTAGAGAGATAGAATTTTAGAAATTATTAATAAGATTTAAAGAGCTGAAAGATCTAATAAATATTAAAGTCGTTTTAATTAAGGACCATAATAATTATAGACTAATTTTAGAATTTAAAATTAATAGAATACTATTCTAAGTAATAAAAGCTAATAAGATTCTTTTAATAAAATAGGAGAACTTTAAAGAGGAGATTAAAAAAAGTAAACAAAACAAATGGGACCTTAAATTAAAGTAAATGATTAATCTCTAAATTAATTATATCTCAATAGAAATTTAGATGATGATCTAGGAAAAAAAATAGGTTAATATAAAGAACTTTTTGAAGGTTTTGAGAAAGTTAAGAATTTTGAATATTTTCTAAAACATAATAATGCAAATGAAATAGCTCGATAAAATAAAATAATGAGCAAAAGTCATCATAGAAAACAGAAATAAAATTAATGAATCTAAATAATGCTAAATAAAATTTATTTTAATATGATTTGTATAATTTATCAATCTTTAGCTGCTCTATAAATTTTATTTGCAGCATCTTCTAATAAACTTAAAAGTGATTCTTATGATTCTTCTCTTAATTTCTTTTCTTCTTCTATTTCACTCTTGACTCTAGAGACTAAATCTTTTAACATTTCAAAGATAGCTGTTTCAGATTCTTCTCTAATAAAGATTATAAATGATAAAATGTAAACCTTAACTTTTTTTGATTGGCTAAACCTTCATTCAATCTTTTAATTTCTTCTCCTGATCTTCTTAATGTTCCATTATCATTATCTTCTCTATCTTATCCCTCATTTTTCACCATATCATACAATTTAGGTAAATCATTCTCTAATGATGTAGTAATATTATCCACCTATTCCTATCTTATTTTACTTTCAGTCTATATATCTGATTTTAAATAGACAACCTAAATTCTAATAATTATTTTATTTACTTTCTCATCTAAATATCCTTACAATTTTAAATTTCCATCTCTTCTTAAAGCTATTTCTTATTCTAATTTTGTTGTAATTCGACTTTCAAATGCAGCAATCTCACGAACTCTTTACTCAAATTATGTTTCAAAAGCATTATTTTCTTCTTCAATTTATTTTTATACTCTCACTATTTCATCTTTCAAAGAATGCTTAATACTATTTATTAAACTATTACTAATTTTCTATTATAAGATGTTATTGTATCTTGAATTTTCTCCTCTACTGCTGTAACTCTAGAATTTATAGTATCAATCCTATGAGCTTTAGAAGTATCATGATGAAGAGGTATAGAATTTAATTTCTCTTATATTTTCAAGAATCGTTCATTGAAAGGTGTATTTGGATTCATTTAATATTTTTAACAAATTTATATAATAAAAATACTTATCAATAATTAATTAATGTAAATTACACATTTACAAAAAATATCTAATACTAATTATAGATTGTCTATTTAATCCTAATGATATAAATATTTAATCAAAGATTTAGAATAAAAGTTTAAACCTGATTTAAAATAAAAATATAAATATAAAATTCAATTTTTTTTCTTTTATCTATTAGGACTAGCACTAGAATTGATTTATTTTCGATATCTAAATTAAATAATAAATTGATTTACATATTAACTCCTTATTATTATAAAATTCCATATTTTTTGGATAATGGAATTTCATCAAAATTCTCTTCAAAAATAGAATCTCTATAACCTAATGTTTCTCCAATAGTTTCATTATTAGGATTATGATCATTCTTTAATTCAGATACCTCCCTCCTTCTTTAACTTAATTCTTTAGGTAGAGTATCAACACTAAATTTAACATCTAAACCCAATTAAGAAGCTTAATATTTTGGTTTTATTGAATTATATGTGCTTAACATAACACTACCTGATACAATACTTGGTTACTATGAAGAATCTTATCTTTTTAAAGCAGGAGGTTGTAACTAATTTGATTAAGGAGGTGCTAAAAATTGATTATTACTCATTCTAATCAGATATAGATATGGATTTATACTATCTGATCAGATTACTTCCTTATTTATCAAGAGACTTTTTCATTTCACCAGTTGATGGAAGTTATAATTATTAATTCAAAGTAGTAGATCTTTACATTATTTCAGAATGAGCACCTTAAGAGATTTTCATTGGCTATTACGTATCCCAATCAAATGAATTATCTAGTTATATTCCTAAATTCTCTGCTGCTTTTTCAAACTATTAATAAACAAAATTGTAATTTGGCTCACTTTAATATTACAATTACTTTAGATATCTTACTTAAATATAATAAATACTCTAATATAATTGCAAATTCATTTGGTACATCTTTACATAATTCTTTAGAATCTAGAGACATTTTCATTTCTCCAACTTTCGTTGTTCTTTCTTCATCATTAACATTCTGCATATTTTGCCATGGTAACTGCCTAGACTTTTTATAATTCATAATTCCTTTACCCTTTCATAAAATATAACAGAACATATATTAATGATTCAATATCATCTTTTCTACTTAATTCATATCCTTTATGTGCTGCTATCGAAGCATATCTAGTAGTACCAATAAATGATGTATTATCACGAAATGGACTTAATATATTTAATTCTAATTTACTGAATGTTTCCATTCTTATCTCTATATATTTTACTAATTCCAAAATCAACCACATAAATTTTAGAACATTCATCATCAATTCCGAATAACACATTTTCTGGTTTTAAATCTCTATGAACAACTCCTTTGTTATGAATTCTCTCTAAAACTTTTACTATTTAAATCCCTAATTAGATTGTTGTTTTAAATGAGAATCTTTTTTTACCCTTCAAATAATATGATAAATCTTTTCCCAATATTTGCATCACAATAACATTATATTCATCCTATTCACCATGCCAATATAATTTAGGAACTCCTTCTATTCCATTAAGTCTTTCTAAAACTTAAACTTCTCTTTCCAAAGAACGCACTTCTTCATTTTCTTCCTTCTCTATTTTTATTGCCACATCTATATTTCTGTCTTTATCACGTCCCAATAAAACTACACCAAAAGATCCAGAGGATATCTTCTTTTACACTACATATTTCCCATTAAATATCGATGCTGTCTACATTAATATATATATTAATTATGTATATTTATTTTTATTGATTTTTATCATCTTTACTTTCTTTTCCCTCTTTTATTACATTGCATATCGCTTCTATTCATTCTTTTATATAACACTTCACTTTCTATAACTATATCAATCTACTTATCTTAATATCAAATATTCTCGTTTATTAAATCATTATCTCATGAATTATTCTAAATTAATATTCATTTACAGATTATATAAATTCCTCATTCAATTTATTAAATTAATATTATTATTTTATTTTATTTTACTAATGTCAGAAATAATTCCTCATGTATTTTTATCATCACTTGTATATGCCAAAGATTAAAATTGGCTAAGCAAAAACTAAATCTCTAATATTCTTATTATTGGAGACTTACCTATGTATTTTCCTTCCAAATTTTCCTATAAATGCATTTCCATAGAGGATAAACCAGAAACAAACATTAAATAATATTTTGAAGAGTGTATTGACTATATTGATTCCATAATTGCCCAGAATTAAAATATTTTAGTTCATTGTTATGGAGGCCAAAGTCGATCAGCGACTATTATAACAGCCTATATTATAAGAAAATTAAGGCTCAATTCGTAAAGAGCTTTAAACTATGTAAAATAAAAGCATTCCAGAGCTGAGCCTAATTAAGGGTTCTTAGATCAATTGAAGACATTTCAATGACATATTTAAATGTATTTACTCTTTATTGTATTAAAATATATATTTTTATCATTTCAACATTCTCAAAATCTGCACATGCTTAAACTTTCATATACCATTACAGATTATTAAATTGAGATATACTACCATTCAATATTATTGTTATAATGAAAAACTACATGATTGATATTTATAGATATTTCTTAAATTTTAACATACTCTGTATTAATTTACATTGTTTAATTGATACTTGGACTTTTAAGCTATTTCTTATTTGTTATAGTTTAATGTAAATAAAGTTGAAGATATATATAAGTTTCTAACTAAATAACAGATATATATATATTTATAAATTTTATTCATATTAGATTTATATGTTTGAAAACTTAAATACATTTTTCATTAATGTTATGGGAAATCTTATTTCAAAATTGCAACAATTTCATCAAAATTTCTTAAAATTAATATTTATAATTACTTAACTATTTGGTTTTAAGAACTGATAAGAGCTCTATTTTATTTTATGTATGTTGATATAATCAAATCTTTTAATCTAATCAAATCAGGAATACATGAATTATCCAAATAAAATTCAGAATTTGGAGTAAGATTAGGTTTCTTAACAATTTTTTGGTAATTATTTTGTTTATTTCTATTGTTGATATTGTTGCAATAACTATTTGATCCACTATAAAGATTACTAATTTTAGCTTATTCAATTTATGATGATTTCATTGGATTATGAATAGTATGTTCTTTATAAACCAAAGGCGATGATTTGACTTAAGTTGAAGTATGCATTTTAGTAGTTTGAGGTCGTTAAGCATAAGAATTCATACTTTTTTTAGGAACATTTCTTTCTACAACATGTTTTTTGAGATCAAAGCTTTCTTCATAAGTTAATTGAATACATTATTCTTTTATACTCTTTGCATGAGGACGTGTAGTACTAGGTGTTTTATTTTTATTTTAATTGACTTTATTAGATTGAACTCCATATTATTAATCACCTTCCTCTGTGAATAAAAGATCTTCTTCTATAATAATATGAGGCCTATTAGATTATCTTCCTTAACTCTCAAATTGAGAAACTATATTATTATTTAATATTATAATACTTGGTTAAACATTATTTGAACTTGAATTAAGGGATGATGAATTTTTTTGTTGCATCCAAGAAGCCACTAAATTTTCAACCTTTTAGTTCTAAGAGCTTAAATTTAACTATAAAATTAATTTATAAGTATATACCGATTTTTCTACAGAATAGGATTAAACTTTATGTCTTTGTCTACTATTTTCAATTGAAAGTTAAATTGATCTCTCATTTATTTATTATCTATCACTAGATAAATTTCTAGAACGTTAAGATACTAAAGGCATCTTATTCATAAGTAATGATTCCATATCCTCTATTTAGGTTGATTATCTTTATGAAAATAACATAATATTTAAGAAAAATTTATATAATTTATAAATTCACTTTAAGATGTTCAAGAATTAAATTAACTCTTCTTATTTTGCAAATAGAATTTCTACTTTCTAGTTTTTTTAAAGTAATAAAAATAATCCATAAAATGTGAAATCTAAATCATATTTTAATTAGATTACTTTATTTAATAACACCTTTAACTAATTATTGTGTTATTCCAACAATTTATTTGATATTTAATGCAGAATCTTTGATACCCAAATCACTACCAATTCTATTTACATTGTAAAACTCTATGCATTTCATTTTTTCATTATATTTAACAAACCTAAAAAATAATCAAAATCTAATTTACTTTGGTATATAATTATTAACCTCTTAAAGTTTTTAAATCAAAGTATTTTAAACAGTTCTTTTATATACTTTAAATGTCTTAATCTATTAAGATTATTAATTTTTATTTGAAACAAAACTTCTATTTGGTGATAATAGAGTAGTATCATCTATTTTTTAAATTGAAGAATTTATTGATTATTTTTATGAATTTCTATTAGACTGATTATGAATAAGAATAAGTTTAGTTCTTTTTAATTAGGATGGACTTTAAAAATTCAAAAAGTTTCTTAAAGAATTTGAAGTTGAATTTGCACCTAAAGCTGATCTTGATCTGGAATGACTTCTATCAGTTGTATTTTCATGATAAGAGTATTTCAAATTTGATTTATTATTATCAAAAATACTATTATCTAAAGATTAACGTTTAGAATGTAAATCTGCTGGTGGAATATTTTCTTTTTTTGGCTTTGAATTTTGATAATCATTCATTGCTTATGATATGGTTTCAATCTTATTTAAAATATTATCTTAATTAGAAATAACAATACTTACTTTCCTCATAATCAAATTATTATAGTTTAATATCACATTCATTTTTAGATTTTGAAAACAATAATTCTTAAGTATGCAATTCTTAATTTAGTTACTGAAGTTCCATTTACAAAAAGGTTTCATCCTAATCAACATCTTAATTATAGACTAATTTTATATCTGATTTTATGCTTAACAATTATTCGATCAACTATTAACACTAATTCTAATATTGAATTATTTGTGTTTCAATAACAGATATTTGTTAAGGATAATTTAATTCAATTTATTATTTGTTCTTTTTCTAAATAATTTCAATTGTATTTATTCGATCTAAAACTTGTTCTAATTGATAACTTTATGTATTCATAATAAGGATAGGCCCAGCGATCTTAAGCTATTGCAACTAGGATTCCAAACGTTGATAATTGCACTGTATCATCGATTATTCATACAATAACTTATGAACTTATCTTTCTAGCTCAATTTATTGAGCTCTAAGCAGAATCTATGATAACCATACTTAAGACTTGTGTGTTCTTGGGTACAACTAAAAATTCGAATTTATTTTTGTAAAACAGCCTGGAATCGTTAACTTTTCTGTTCAATTATGTTCATAAATTAATGATTATTAATTTTTTAAACTTCTAATTAATCAATAAATACCTAACAAACATTCAAAATCTTAAACATCTATTTCTTTAAACCATTATTAATATTAATTTATTGAATTTGTAACCTCTTAGAAATTTTTATCGAACAATTATTATCTCTCTTCAAATTTAATGTGCTTTTACAACAAACTAAAACAACATCCAACTATTTTGTCATGAATTTACATCAAAATATCAAATACTTCATCTATTTTATCTTTATTGAAATCAACACAATCATTAAAGATATCAAGAAAAACCTTATAAACTAAATCTGGCGAAAACCAAAATTAAATGCTTTATTTAAGTTGAAAATCAATTTCTTAAAAAATTGGAATATGTTCTTTTCTTAATTTATTGAGATTTTCCTAACAAGAATCAACTCTTTATGTTAATTGATTTAGACTAGCCTCTTTAATCTATCTTTCACTAGATAAATCTAAATAATTTGCTCTTAATTCATTTAACTATTTCTTAATTTGATATATTTTGCTTATTGGTTCTATTGCTGAGCCATTCCATTAATGAATCACTTCATCTAATTCCTCAAATTCAATAATCAAAGCACTATTCTAATCATGCATTCCATTTATATCTTCTTTAATCATGCTTATTTACTCTCTCCAATCATTTAGTTATTAATCAGTTAATATAATTTTTTAAATTATTTTTATTTTTTAAGAGGTAAACTTATTGTTTTCATGTAGGTATCTTGTTATAAGATCATTCCAATTATTATTTTTGAATGCACTAATTAATTAGTCTAATCTAATATATGATTAAGTATTGTTGATCAATATTTGTAACTCATCCATTTATTTTAGGAGCTTTCTATTATTTTTTTGGTAATTAGAAATCAAATCCTCCCTTTTAGATTTTAAATGGTTTTATTAAAATCTTAGATCATTTAGCTATAATTAAATTTGTATATGATTACATCTCTTTAGGCCTTATTGAGAGATTACTCTAAAAAGATTATTTTCTATTCAGTAAGAGTAGCCTATGATTTAAAAGCATTTGTAAGCGCTGATTGATTTGGTTAATAAATATTCATATGATAATTCAAATTTTTAATATAACAAATATATAATTAAAATATAATTCTAACTCTTTTGAAAAGTATGTCTCAAAAATATTTATAAATAATGTAATTTGATAATAAATAGATTAATGTTCTCTTAAATTAGTTTAAGTTTTTAAAAAATAGAGAAACATATAGTGCAAGTATTTAAATGTAAATCATAATTTCCCTTCTTTAGAATTATAATCTAAAGAAATTCTAAGATTATTTAGAATTCTCTTCTCATTATTAATCTCTTAAATGTAATCGTCAACAAAATATATACTTGCATAAAGAATTGGAATATCATTTATTAAAACAATTAAGAGGAAGATAGTTTATTCATCATCTATTGTAAATATTTATTATTTTTTATTAGATTCAAAAACTATTCCTCTTATGGAAAATAAATCTTTCAATTGCAAATATATGATATTTACTTACTTATTATTGTTTAATTATTAATGGTTTTTACTTTGATTTATGATGTCCTTTCTCTATGAAATTAGAAAGTAATTTCATTGTTATTTCTTTTGGTATCATAATTTCAACTTAAAGATATTTATAAATCATAGCCACATTAAACTATATAAATGAAAAGGATTGAATATTGAATATTCATTTCTAATATAAATTTATATACATACATAATTTAACATTGTGAGAGTAGTATTAATTTTTTGTATGAAAATTCAAAAATAGAATTGCTTATTTTTTTCATGATACCAATATTAATATCAGAGTTCTTTTTAATTAAAATTTAAAACTTCTTTTAAAGACTAACCATTAATGAATTTTGAATGTCTATTTTTTATAAGAATTATACAATAGGTATTTTAACTTTTGCTTATTTATATCCTATCTTTTTTAACAAAGGTAATTTCTATTTGTAAAAATATAATCATTTATTGATTGAATTTGAAAATACAAGAAAATGTATCGATTTATGATTCAAGAGATTAAAAATGTCAAAATTTGATCTGAGTTAATTTTAATAAGATTTTATTTTTAACCTATTTCTTGATCCTAAAAGGCTTCATATTCAATTTCATTCTCAATTTAAAATGAGATTAAAACAGGAGAATTATCATGTAATTAAGAGTGGTATAGCATTTGTTTAAATAAAAAATAAAAATTATTAAGTATTCATTAATAAGTGCCTTTTGAACAAATTGATAAAACTGAAATACAAAATCCTTAAAATATGCTTATTCCTTCATGCAATTATAAGTGAAATGTATGTTTATTCTATTTACCATGACATAAATAGATATTCTATTCTGTGTTGTTTTCACACTTTTTTTGTAAAATGAAATTTCTTGTAGAAGGAGTTTATGCAATGTCTTTTAATTTTAAAGTAAAAGCACCTTTAGATTCTTCATAATGAGGTTCTTTAGTGATAATTTCTTCAAAAATAAAAATAAATGATTACCATCGTATTAATTTGTATTTATGTTGTAACATTTCACATAAAATAATCTTGGTTTGTCATATCTTTTTTCTGAAAAATAATCAAATACTAACATTCTTCTTTTTTTCCTTCCAATCCATTAAGGAAAACTATTTTCCATATATTCTGGATATCCATCATCATAAACAATAAATTCTTTTCCTTAATTTTTAAATTCAATAATTCCTAAATAATTATCATTATATTTAATAAATTTATCTTGGTACTCTTAGAAAATAAGAATATCTCCTGTCATTTCATATTATATAGCTATTAAAATGGTTTAATTTTCATTATTTTTAAGATAGTAAAGATGAGGATAATCTGATTATTCTTTTCCTTCTACAAAATTTAAAGTTCTATTCACAGTGAATAATTGTGTTTCTCTAATTGGTTTATAATATTTAAATAGATATAACTCTTATTATTTAAAAAGAGGATAAAAAATAGTAGAGTTAATTTTAAAAATGTGCTATTAAGTAATCAATTTTATAAAATTAGGTTTTTCGACTTACAATTGTTTTGGTTTCATTCCATTTTAGACAATTTTTTATAAATGATTATCATAAGTTTCTTTTAATAAGCCTTTACTAAAATAATATAAATGTTTAATAAGTCTATATGATGAATATTTATTATACTTATAAAAATAGTGTTGTTTTTTAGATTCATATTATACATTAATAAGTAATAATTTAATAGCATTTTCTAAGTTGATATTTGAAAAGATCTATTCATAAAGAGCTTCTTCAATATGACTATCCTCAAAATAATAAAAAGAGGAAAATTTACTTAAAATATTAGACTGGTTATAAGTAATCCAAATAAATGTTTAGTGTCCATAGTTCGAATAGATTTCGTGAATTCTTCATTATTATTTTTGATTAAGGATAATTTAAAAAACTACTTAATGTCATATTCATTGGGAATACGTATTCCATTGGCTGAACATATTGGTAACTAAATATCTAAAATATAATTTTACTTTTATCACATCAAGTTTTTCAATGTAATTTGACTTTAATAGTTTAGAACATTCAATGAATGTCCTTTCTACATATGTTATAATTTCTTTTTTTATACAATCAGAAAGATCATATTATTCTATTATTTTTATTTGATTATTTACCAACTACATCATCTTTTTAAATAATTTAAGTTTCATTTTCAGAGCAAATAATTTTTTCTTTGTTTGCAATAGTCTTTAATTAAAAGTATAATTTACTTCATTTGTGAAAGTGCAAATCAGAATAACTTTAACAAAATTTGGATTTTTCGAATCATCTTAAATAGTTAAATCAATATTTTAGATTTGATCTTTGAATAAACTTTATTGAAACCTTTCTTCTTTATATTATTAACATTATTTTATTTGATTCTATTCGTTGTGCATGCTAATTGGAAATGTTTTATTTACAAATTGTATTTTGGTTGATTCTGATTTATTTATTCGTTTTTATTATTAAAAATGAAAAAAAGTATGGATCAATAAAGTCCAAAATTTATCAGATATCTAATTTTATTACTTGCATGTATAGCATTAGTAAACATAATGAAAATAAAATAGTATGGGAATATGTTTATATTCGATCAACCAGCATTATTAAAGGAATAAATAATGTAAACTTATAGTCCAAAATATGGAGAAAGTTTAACAAGTTTCTATTTCAGTTTTATGTATTCATTTTATTCGATTCCAAATATAATATTACCATTAGTTGGTGGTTTTATGAGTGATGTATTTGGTATAATAGAAATATAATAATAAAGGTTATAGAAAGATGTCATTGATATTTATGTTTTTTGTGATAGCAGGTTAAGGATTCATATATTTTGGAAGTTCAGTTGAAAATCTTAAATATATGATTTTAGGGAGATTTATGTTTGGATTGGGTGGTGAATCTCTATTTGTAGCAAGTTCAATAATAATAAATAAATGGTTTGTTGGAAAAGAATTATCCTTTGCTAATGTAATATATGTTAGTATATAAAATAAGTCATTAAATTTGAGTTTAATAAGAAGTGCAACAGTTTTAGGAACATATATATCTCCAAGAATTGCTGAGAAATCAGGAATGACAACAGCTTTTGGAGTAGGATTTGGTATTACTTTATTATCTGGATTGGCTCTAGTGATAATGAATTTTATTGATTCATATACAGAGAGAATACAAAAAAGAAATTTATAAAAAACAGAAGGATTATTGGATAATAGTATTTAAGTAATGGATTTTGGAGAACTTATAAAATAGATTTTAGATGATATTGCAACATTTCCTAAAGTAAAATACACAAATGAATCAATTTTTAGATTTTCTGGATATTGACTTTAATAATGACTACTTTTTATACATCAGTCCTAATTTTTATATCTTTTTCAAGTGGCATAATAATTGATTTATGGTTACCTGTAGATGCATCTGTAGAATAAAACTAAGAAGTAGCTGGTGAATTAATGGGAATCCCATATTTATGTTGTACATTTCTAAGTCCATTTATTGGATTTATGGTTGATAAAGTTGGATAAAGAATTAAATTTCTAGCTATAGGATGTGCTTTAGTATTTTTAGGTCTTTTATTGATGCTATTATTTTATCCAATCTATTGCATGATAGTTTTAGGATTATCATATGCTCTATTTGCTAGTACAATATGGACAAGCATTGCATTTGTAGTTAAATAAAAACAATTAGTAATATTATATTATATAAAGGGGCACAGCATATGGTGTTATGAATTCTGTTTAAAATTTTGCTTTCTTTGTAATGCCATTATTTATAGCATTTATTTCAGCAGAAGCATCATCTTAAATTTCAGTTGTTCTATTCTTTTTAATACTTGCTTGTTTGTCTTTAATTATTGCTATCTATTTATATATTGAAGATCGAAATCGATTAGGTATTTTTATATTCTTTGATTTAGTCTCATTAAATTCAAATGATCAAAATAAACTTATGAATTACGTTAATAATCAAAAAGAAGATAGTGAAGAATTTGAAGAAGAAGAAATTATTGAATCAAAATGATAGAGTGTATTTTAACATTTAAATATAACCCTTATTTTCATTTACTAATCCATTCGATAGCTTATATTAATCAATTTTTATACATTTTTACATTAAAATTATAATTATATATAAATCTTAATATCTGTATATAGATAATATAATTTCCTTCTAAGAAATAAAATTGGATTTAAATCCCATAAGCGCATTTTTTTTATTTGATTAAATTTTTCGTTTATCAAACAGTGATTAAAGATAAAAGAGATCTTATTTATTTTAAAGATTATAATATCAATTCACTCTTGGATGTATATCATTTTAAAGACCTATTATGATTTTCATAAATTTATTCCATTATATTTCATCCAAATTAAAACCTTTATTTCCCATCAAGTATAAAATCAAAAAAGATTATATTTTATTAGTCTAGCGTCTATAGTATAGAGGTTCGTACGAATGCCTTCCAAGCATTTAGGTCGGGTTCGAGTCCCGATAGACGCAACTTTTTTTTTTTTTAATTTATTAGATTAAGTTAATTTTTTTTAACTTTATTAATTCTAATAATACAGATTTATCCAAACTGACTTCTTCATTTTAGAATTTCTCTTTTTAAGTCTAAATCACATATTATTTTTCAAATATATTACATGATACACTTTATTTAACTCTAATGTATAAAAAATTATATTGAAGTTAAAATGAATTAATTCTAAACTTTTTTAGTTGGGTTCGAGTTCCGTTAGATACGCTTTTTATTTTTTTTAAATTTATCAGTTTAACCCTTGATTACCTTTAGTTTTATTACTAATAGTAGTAGACAATAAATGAAAAATACAATTTAAAAATGTATTTAAAAAAATGATTAAGTTGAAAATATTTATTAATTTTATAAAAATTGAAATTACTTTGAATTATGAAATATCATAAAGGATTGAATATTAATAATGATTAACTTTACATATTAATAATGTGAACTCTTCTAAAAACTATCTAGATTAGAATTATAAATTATATTTTATTATTATCATGTTTGATAAAAGTTTTAATTATTTCATTCCAAAAACAAGTTCGAATAGTGATAATGATTAAAGGGAAAAAAGAGAATCAAAAAAATAGTTTAGATATGTATCTGTTAATAAAATCAGGCCATCTGAAAAAGATAATTATATTCCTCTTGTAAGTCCATAATTATCAGCCTATGCTAAACCAAGTGAAAGGATTAAATTATAACAAAAATTAATGAGAGCTAGATAAAATAGATCACTTAATTTATATTCAGGGAAACACGATTCTTTTAATATAACTCCAAATTGTTTTTTAAAACATTATACAGATGATTCATAATTAACTAGTGAGGATTAATTATTAAAGATAGTTGGAGGTCAACTCTTCTCAACAGGAGAGAAATGTTAATCAGTTTAAAGGAAATATAGAAGGAAGCCTAAGAGTAAAATTATAATAATAAGTATTGTAGCTCATAGAAATATATTTTCATTGTACGTTCAAGAATCATTAGAACTAAATCAATTAAGAAAAAAAATGAATCCATAACTCATCAATAGTAGAATGGATTCTCATATAGCATAAAGATTTAATAAGACATAAATTGGATTTAACAATTCTTTTGATTCAAATTAATATGGGTTTTTATAGTAGGGAAAAAGATGTTAAATGTAATAAAAGTTCAAAGATTACTTAAATTGATTGTATAATTAATTATATAACTTATAAATTTATTCACATCAAATTTTAGGTTATTTTACATATTATTACCATGTATCCTATGGTAGGTCTCTAAAATAATTTAAGTAGTCTAAAGTTGGATCCATGATCCACTATTAAATAAATTATAATTATTATTACTCTTTTAACAGTAACAAAATTTGTTTCACTATACCATTCAATATGACCCCCTTTTTAAGTTAAAGCAAATATTAAATTTGGCATATGCCTATGTAATTTTATAGGTACAAATTTCCATGGTATTAATGGATCATTCTTAGTATTAATAAATAAAGTGGGAATAGTAATATCTTATATATAATTTATACAAGAATTTGCCTTAAATAAAATAGAGATATACCTTATACATTGATTCAACAGATTCAAATTTTTACAATTACCTTGTAAAATAATGATCAAATTCATAAGGAGTCTTTGCTTCTAATACTTTTTTAATGTCAATATTATGTTCATCAAAACAAGCATTCATTACATCTAAATGTTTATTTAATAACCACTTAAAATGTTTAGTTAAGTAGTATATATATAAATAATTGTACCATCTATCCAAATTTTCAAAACAAGCCTAAATAAATAGAAGGTAAATACACCAATAAATCAAATGGATTAGCTATACAAACCATAGACTTGAAAGCACAATTCTCTTTCATAATTCCTGCATATTTTGCTGCTAAATTTGCTCCAATTGAAATTGCCACACATTATAATGTTGCATCAGGATATCTCTCTTTTATTAAATCAATAATTTCCATCATATCTGATGGATCTCCATGATTATGATATTAAGGTGTCTTTTTTTTTAATTTTAAATAATACAGATAATTTTGTAAATCCTACTCCTCTATTATTAAAACAGACTGCTGTATAACCAGCATTATGAAGTCTTTCTAATGTATCTTTAATATAATTGCAATCTCCACCACCAGTCAATCCATGTAATACTAAAACAATATTCTTAGGGTCATTAATTTTCCAATCTAATGCTACTTGACCTCCATCTTTCAAAGTCACCATTTCTCTTTTCTATAAAGGCACCATTTGATGTTCTACTAATGTTACATAAAACAATCCAAATATATTATTCATACTCCAAATACTTGGATTAAAATGTCCCTATTGTTGTTATTTTTCATTACTGTAATATTTGGACATTTTGAAAGTAGCTCCTTATTAAATTATGTGTTTTAATAGAAGACTTCTATTTCTGTATTATATAAACAATCATATATATGTTAGCCTAACAATGCAAATGATGCTCCAGCTATGAATTTCCATTTTGGGATACTCAAAAACTTTTTTATCATGTATTAAATAATAAATAACTTTGATTATTCCTATTAATCAAAAATCACCTTCTAAATCCTAATAAATAATCAAGAAATATGATATCAAGTATTATTATTAATGATTATTATTAATGAGTACAATTTTTCATAAAAATGATCATAAATGACGAAATTTAATTATTTTTATATTTTTTTTTTATTTTTATATATATATCCAAAATAAACTATCTATTTACATAAACTAATACTTNATATAATTTATACAAGAATTTGCCTTAAATAAAATAGAGATATACCTTATACATTGATTCAACAGATTCAAATTTTTACAATTACCTTGTAAAATAATGATCAAATTCATAAGGAGTCTTTGCTTCTAATACTTTTTTAATGTCAATATTATGTTCATCAAAACAAGCATTCATTACATCTAAATGTTTATTTAATAACCACTTAAAATGTTTAGTTAAGTAGTATATATATAAATAATTGTACCATCTATCCAAATTTTCAAAACAAGCCTAAATAAATAGAAGGTAAATACACCAATAAATCAAATGGATTAGCTATACAAACCATAGACTTGAAAGCACAATTCTCTTTCATAATTCCTGCATATTTTGCTGCTAAATTTGCTCCAATTGAAATTGCCACACATTATAATGTTGCATCAGGATATCTCTCTTTTATTAAATCAATAATTTCCATCATATCTGATGGATCTCCATGATTATGATATTAAGGTGTCTTTTTTTTTAATTTTAAATAATACAGATAATTTTGTAAATCCTACTCCTCTATTATTAAAACAGACTGCTGTATAACCAGCATTATGAAGTCTTTCTAATGTATCTTTAATATAATTGCAATCTCCACCACCAGTCAATCCATGTAATACTAAAACAATATTCTTAGGGTCATTAATTTTCCAATCTAATGCTACTTGACCTCCATCTTTCAAAGTCACCATTTCTCTTTTCTATAAAGGCACCATTTGATGTTCTACTAATGTTACATAAAACAATCCAAATATATTATTCATACTCCAAATACTTGGATTAAAATGTCCCTATTGTTGTTATTTTTCATTACTGTAATATTTGGACATTTTGAAAGTAGCTCCTTATTAAATTATGTGTTTTAATAGAAGACTTCTATTTCTGTATTATATAAACAATCATATATATGTTAGCCTAACAATGCAAATGATGCTCCAGCTATGAATTTCCATTTTGGGATACTCAAAAACTTTTTTATCATGTATTAAATAATAAATAACTTTGATTATTCCTATTAATCAAAAATCACCTTCTAAATCCTAATAAATAATCAAGAAATATGATATCAAGTATTATTATTAATGATTATTATTAATGAGTACAATTTTTCATAAAAATGATCATAAATGACGAAATTTAATTATTTTTATATTTTTTTTTTATTTTTATATATATATCCAAAATAAACTATCTATTTACATAAACTAATACTTATTATTAAATCATTTCTTCTCAGTAACATTTTTTAAAATAATCTTTTTGTTAACTAAAATCGATAAAAAGATGATAACAATATTAACTACTCGTTTATTATCTCATATTTAGATGATTATAATAGAATCTTATAAAAATGTTTTAAGAATATTATTAACCTTGATAAATAAGAATTTATTTTTATAAAGCTTGATTATCAATAGAAATGTTAAATTATACAAAAAATCAATTTTTCTTTTAAATTTTTCTAAGTTTTGGTTTGCAATCATATGCTTTTCGTTCTAATAATTCCTCCAAACATTTCATATTGTAATCATCTAGAGTGACAGTTATATAAATTTTTGGATATTCTAAAGTAAGAGATTTATCACTCAAATATTCAAATCCTGTACCACATATCATAGAGCAAAATGCTACATCAATTTTCTCAATTGATTTACATTTTAAAAAGATATTCTATTCAAAATAAAAATAAATAAATTACTTTCAAACCCTCATCTGTAATCATTTTTGATCTTATTTTAAGTTATTTAATTTAAGGATTATTTGTACAGAGTTTTTTGCAAAATTCGTCATCCGCAAACCCTCCAAAACTGAAATTAAAAATCCCTTTAAATAAAATATTTAATTACCATTTAATTGCTAAAAAATTCTCTCATCAAATAATACAGAATGTTTCAAAGAAGTTTAATTTTTCATTTATAATTCTCCTAAGCTTAACTTATTAATCTAATTGTTGATTTAAAGAAAACTTAAAAATTAGGAAATTTGATTTGCATTTAAAACTTAAAATATTATAGTACCAAATTTAATTTTCTATTTTATTGAATTAAAAGGATTCTGTTCATTTGATTACGAATATTTCATAAAAAATTCTATTTACAAAAAAGGAATTCTGATGTAACTAAGATGTCGGAGTTAAAATATTGGTAAAAATGATGTAAAGTCAATATCTTCATTAAGTTGGGCTTTTTCTTTTTCGACTAGCTTTAAACTTTCGAGATATGGGAGTTTTTAAGATATTAATGTAATAGTTTCATTTGTAATTTTTGAATTGTAAGGTAAAACTAATGATTTCAGATTAACACATTAATAAATAAATTTTGAACACAATTTGTCAGTCAAAGCATGATAATCTTTAAAATTTAAGCTAAGTAGATGAGGGATAGAATTTATTTTAATATCTTATAATTATGAAGGTTTGATGAACTTTAAAGGACCAAAATTCAAATGTCTTAGTTTAGTAAATTTTGTTAATGTTCTACATAAAGTGTCATAGGGAATTTCACCTACATGCTAATAATTTAAGGTATGAATTTAATTATTGATTGATTATCCAAATAATTTATTTACTAATCTTAATCTTAACAATTAATGCATATCAATGAATGATAATATATATGACCATAGAATTGATGGTAATTAGAATTTAATATTTATTTATTTAAATGAATTAAGATTTTCTGATTATTTGGATTTAATTTACTTAGGTATTTATTCGATTTATTATTATTACTATTATTATTGTGAAGCTAATAATTTTCTCTAAAGTTTAAGCTTTTAGAAATCATTTAATTCTCTTTTTTCTTGTATTTCTTTTGGTTGGATTTCTGGATATTATTGCTATTATACAATTGCTGGCTGATTTTATGTTTTAATACTGTGATTCATTAATTATTTTTTATCTCTTTATAATTCTAAAGATAATGTAATCTATAGATACAAATTAAGATAGATCTAAATTATTCTAATATTTCATTTGGACATTCATAAAGTGACAGAATTCTATCAGCAAATTATAAATTGAGTGTTTATTATCTCACTTCTGATTTACATAGATTTATGCTTTCATCTAAGTTAAAGCAAAACAATTCCTCTCCTAGACAATAGACCTTTATATAGACTTGCATTTCAAGAGGCTATTTTTAAATTTACTCTTTAGCTTCTTCTTTTGCCTATTTTTGGCGGGAAAACAATTATTCTAAAGTAGGTTATTTTAGTTTTATAGATGGTTTGATAATAGGTGCTGCTTAAGGAGGATATCTTTCATATAAAGAAATAACCACTTTTCTTAATAAACCTTTTTCACCCTTGACTAATAATTTTATGTTGTTTCTATATACACAACATTAGCAATTGATTTCTTATATTTTTTTAATTTACATTAAAATTATTGAGATTGAAATTGGACTAGAAATATATCAAAGTGTTTTAGTTAATAATAGGCAGAAATGTTATAATTTTTATTAAAACATTTTAAAATAACTATTTGTTTTAGGAACATGTATTCTAAAAAAGGTAAAAGCTGTAAAAACATCACAAGATTATATGAAGAAATTATAGAATAAAAATAAAAAACCTATTAGTTCAAATAATAGGTTTTTTAGGATGATGAACATCTTAAATTTTTATCATCCTCAAATCGCCTTTCATAAATTTGATTCTGAGTCATCTAATAATACTCATTAAAGCTACTTGATTTAAGATGAAAATTTAAACTATAAACTCGAAATAGATATGTTAGAAAATCAAAAAGAATTTTGATTAGTTTTTAAGAAACTTAGAATTTAATATTGATTGAATTTGCTTCCCATATATTAATTTGAAAATACAATAAAAATGATTGTTACATGATGAGGCTCATAAAAAAAAATAATAATATAAAGGGAAATCAATAATGTTATCTTATGCTTAGTAAATAAAAATTTAAATATTTATGGTAATTGATTACAAAGGAAATTAATAAATCAATATAGTTCAATCTGAAAGTAAGTCTATGGCCGCATATGATAATATCAAATGAAAATATAAAGTCAATTGATATTATAAAAGATTGATCTCTACTAAGGGAATATATTCCTATATCGGATAATAGAGAATTAAATGTAAAAATATTCATTTTCCTAATTATTTTCATAGCAATGATTTTGTGAATTTGCTTATTTAAAAAATAAGAGAAAAAATAATTTATTAAAATTAATCCTAAGTATGTGGAGAGAGAGGTTAGTTAAGAAATAAATACTTTAATCATATACCTGAGTTTGCTAATAGATGAAATGTGTGGTGGATTACATAATGCGGCAAATATTGATAATATATTATATTTTTGGGGAAGACGAGATGGAGTATTATTAGGATTGCCACTTGAATTAGTAATGGAAATTGCAACTCGAACTAAAATTAATATTGATGATGTCTAATCATATTCATATGGTGATGCTTATACTAGAATACTTAATAAATTTAAATAAGTTTATTGATGGGGATATAATGATTAAGGATAAATAAGATTGTCTTTAAAAATTACAAGTGTTATCCAAAATACAATTTTGATTGAAGATATATGTTGCAATGATGATTCTTTAAATAATTTTTTATTTGTTTTTATTAATTCTATAATATTATTATATTTATGCTTTTTAATAAAATATAAATTATCAATATATA